AATTTTTTCTCGCATAGTTTTCACTCTTTATTTGGATTTCTCTGCCCGGTGTGCATGGCGGGAAAAATGGGTCAAGAAAGGAAAAGAAAGGGGTGGGGGGGCGAGAGGGGCTCACTGGTCCCTCAACATCCCTGTGTTGAATATGAAAATATATTATAGCATAATGTGTTCAGTATGCAGGCTTGAAGGAAACCATATGGAAAGATCCCAGACAAAGAGCCTTCTGTGTTCCAACTGACCCCCTCCCACCCCCATCCTTCGTCTGCTTCAATTTGGAGAGAGACAGAGAGAGGGAGAGAGAGAGAGGTAAAAGGGGAGGTGTGTGCAGAGTCGTAGGAACTGAAAAGGGGCAGTACACACACTCGATGCCTCACACAGCCAGACCCACCGGAGTACAGGTGAGCAGCATGACTAACACCAACACAAACAAACAGGAAATAGCAGAAAGTCCTGGGATTGTATCTGTCGCTGAGATTGAACCATGATTGCTGCACACTTTGTCACCTGCAGCCCATTATAATTATCTTTAACGGGGTAAGACACTATCTTTGTTTGGAGAGGGAGAGAAATAGTGCAGTGAACTGAAGCAGAAGAGGAGGGAAACTTTGGTTGTCTTTGTTTGAGTAGATGACAAACATCTGTGGCCGCTGTTTTCCCCTCGGTGCGGGCTGCAGGCTTACAGAAGGGGCTCTGCTGCTACATTAGCACTGTGGTCACTGATACCCCCAACCCATTGTGTTGACTGCAAGGAGCCCGCTGTGTCTCCAGGTTATAGACTTGAACTGCACTGTGTAACATTAGATGGTGTATCCAATTTAAAGACCTTGCTGGAGCCGCATTGACTTACTTATATAAGTAATTGCTTCCTGTTAACACAACAGGCGAGGCCCATTTTCTGCTTTACAGGAGGTCAACTGTAGGTTTTCTTCAGCCATATGTTACCATACATATTTTAACTAATGATACCCTTTAGTTAGCTTTGACAGGAGAGGCTTTGAAACTGTAGAAAACTCCTTTTGCAAATGTCGTGCTTTGAAGAGAATAATGATGCTAAAACCACTTCACTAATAATCCATGCAGCATTATTTGCACACATTCACATTTTTTAAAAGTGCTTGTACTTTCTGCCTTTGATGTCTAATAGCTATCAGATTGTGACTGATTGTTTTAGAAGGTTCCCCCCTCCTGGCACTGGATCATACACACCTACTCCAAGTATTTTTCTGTGCCTCTTGAAGTTCTCCACCTGTGACTCTGAGAGTAGGATGAGCACCACATGAAGCAGACACTTTATTACAAGGTTTTCCTCTGCCTTATTTATGATAGCACTTACACGATTCTTGAAAGGGCAAACAGAGAGAAAGAGATATTTGTGACTTTTATTGGAGTCGCTGATTCCCAGTGTGTGTTAGATGTCACTCACCAACCTGCACAAGCTGTGGCATGTTGAATATCACAGCCTCCTGAGGAATTATGACCCAGGAATGCCAATTTTGGAGCACTACCCAAAATGATTTCTTGGTGCTGCGAGGGCCCTTGAATGGTTCTTTGTCTGAGCGAGAGAGAGCAAAGGGCCCAGCTAGGCTTTTAGCTTTTACAGCTGAATGATTTTTCTTGCCAAACTGTAAAGGATCCAGGCAAAAGGAAAGAGATAACAGACACATAGCAGCTCTGCCCCTCAGGCATTCCATCATAAAGGCTTGCCAGCCAATGTCCTGACCAGATGCCTCATAAGCTCAGTAACTGATGCACCTTTAAATCTTACAGTAGGTAGAATGCACACTTACTGTACCTGACATCCACACATCTCACATACTGCAATGTGCACCCAGAGCAACTGATGATGTACAGATGTCATACCTGAGGTGGCATGCAGTGTTTGAGCTATTAGGTGGCTGACATGCTGTCTACAAGTTGGCTATTGATGCAGATGTGTAATAAATGTACAAGACAACGGCCATGAGGGACAAATGAATGATTACAGTTGGTACGGCTGCCAAAGCCATTTTTTGTCTGCGTCATTACTAAGCGAGGTAGAGAGCTGTGGGATAGATTTGCTGTCTGAGTATGGATCAATCACATGTTGACGATGTACAGGAATTCTGTGATTACACACTAAATCGGCCTACGGGCCTGACTGTAAATGATATCCAGCTTCCACCCCACACAGGACAACTGTGCGGGGTGGAAGCTGAGTGGGACAGGTGGGCACTTTGAAATACCTTTTGAACTTCAAGATAATTGGAGGGTAGAGAGAAGAGAAGAGATGACATCAGATCTTGGGTATGACATGTACTGGAGGCCTGCAACAAAAGGCTTGTACAGCGGTTTACCAAAAAGTTATCACTCTTTTTTTGTGAGTTGTCATTAAATTAGGATTAATGCAATCAATTCTAGGTTTACATTTGACATGAATAACTGTCTCCTGGATGAAAGTCCAATTGTATTACCTCCTACCTATGTGGCATTTCATATCTTGTATAGGCCTACTTCCTGATTTACAGAGACATGAATGACTTTTTTGGGATGTATACGGAAAAAGGTGGGATCCGTTTGATTGGAGATAGAACACTCAAGCTGGATAATAATAAGCTGGGACCAATGAATAATAAAACCAAAAAAAAGATTGTGGCAGATGAGGATTTTTAAGAGTCCATGTGTTGGCCTTTTATATTATGAGCTAAATCTGCATCTGTGCTCACATCAATTTTGAGTATCCAAAATCTGTTATTTGTCTAGTAGATAATAAATATTTGAAAGACAAGTAATCAAACCACATTTAAATCAACCCGCGACAGCAGTGTAGGACACGCCCTCAACATGTGTTCACCTCTGTTACCATGATTACAGAAAACATGAAGACTTGGAACAAAACTGACTGTGAAAAAAAGGAAATGTAGCAAGATGGGGTGCTAATCTAAAAAGACATTGAGATTCAGATAGAACCAAACACATCTGGAGTAATGAAAGGGCTGTTGTCAGAGTGTCGAAACAATAGCCCGCCTTCATCTCTTCTCACGTGACACAATCACGCCAGTAAGCGAGAAGGATTTGTGTGTCTTTCTGCAGGGATTGTTTGGGTTGATTGTGTTCAGGGGCCAATGAGCAGTCCTCCTCCACACTGTCATGACTCAGCTGTCATGTCAGAGGGAGAGCGTCTCCACAAAAACACTTTTTCAAGAGATGTCAATCAATCAACAACTTGATTAATCCCGCAAGGGGCAATTGGTTATGAGCAGCAGCTTATGTCATGTACACAGGCAGGAACATACAGGAAGAAAACATACAGATACACCCGGGAGCACAGATGTGGATCATTCCAATTTACACTATAAATAGTTCAAAGCATCACAATAATAAATAAATAAATAATCAAGTTAAAAGCCTTTCCAGAATTTAAAAGTTTGAATGCAGAAGGGATGAATGATTTTGAAAAGCGATTAGTCTTTAGAGCAGGTAGAGCATATCTTCGCCCTGATGGCAACAGACGAAATTCATGTGAAAGAACATGACCTGGAGAGGCCCGAATGCTCTCTGCTTTCCACAGAATCTGTTGGTTGCAGAAGGAATTTAAGTCTCTCTGTTTCATGTAAACAACTTTAGGCTTGCACACCTTCGCATGAGATGAATGTGAGCGTGGTTGCTATGCCTCTGAGGAATTAAAAAATAATGATTATGTCTCTGCACAGCCCTCCCACTCCTGAGTGTTACAGTGGTGAATCACACCAGAAAACAAATTCAACCGTGAGCTTCTCGCAGAGGCAAGTCTGATCAGGGAAAAGGATGTGTAAACACATCATTATCATCACAAATGTTGTCAGTGGGTATTAGCTTTGAAGAGAGAACATGACACTGTGGATCTAATTAAATGCTCCATCAGATAAGAGGGAAGGGTGCCATAGATGTCAATGTAAGACATTCAAATCCTTGTCTCTTTACTTGTTGCTACTAATCTTTAATACACATTTACTTTCTCAGCATTCTGTTTCATATCACAGACCCAAAGGCAGGGATAAAGTTCATTTTTTGGCAGGTTTAATGCATACATAAATACATTTCCAAACGTATCGCCTATTTATTCTGACATTCTTTATTACACTGAGTAAATGTGGCGCAAAGTTTTATAATGGTGTCTTTTCATTTCCGTTTCCACATTCTTAACCTGATTGCAGATTAGACTGAGAAGGCTGATCTTTATCTTTAAAGGCAGGAAAATGCACTTTCATTGTCTCATAAATGAACAAAGCATTAGATTAATGCTTTTATTGGAAGCCAACCAATGTTCATTAAGCTCTACTGAAGAGCACATGTGTTTTTAAAAAGCAGGAAATAAAAAAAGAACTCACCTTGTGATAAACCCGCAAGAAAAAAAGTATTTGAGCTCCATACTGTTTCAGAAATAATCGTTGATGTGGTTTAGAACAGGATGGCGTTTTATCACAGCCGAATTTAACTTTATCTCCGGTAGAATTCTGATCAGGCATTAGCTCCGCCTCTCTTTTTTTTTTTTTATAAGCTAAGGACCCAAAATCCGCGTTTCTCTAACAGGGCTTCAAAAGAGGGGTTTGAGCAGTATGAGGGATGGCTACAATGGGTGAACTGTTTGGTATTTTGAAAAAAACACTTCACAGACATGTTTTGTATAGGTATGGCCCTACAATATGTGTTTCAAATATAGCATGATAGGTCCACTTTAAGTGAGGTTTTTTGGACTGCTTTCTAGAAACTATCGTTTCAAATCCTGTACAAAGCAGTTGGTTTAAACCTTTATATATACAGTCTATGGTTTAAACCTATAATGCCCTTTCACAAACAGCGAGAATGGAAAATGATGTAGGATTCTTGTCCAGCTGATTGCCAAACCTGCACTTTGCCATGCCAAAGTTGTGGGTAGATGTAACATCTAGCCTTTGTCTTCACAAATTTCACATTTAAATCATAAAGCTGAAGAAAAGTTTGCATAACTTAGTTTTAACCTGCATATTTTTCTTTTTTTGCAGATGGTTTTGCACACAACATGGACATGGAGAGGAATTAGATTAAACACACCAGCCTTTCATCCTTTTGTGTACAGCTGAAGCTTGGTCCACCACCAAAAAAACTGTTTGAATAATCAGAACACAGATGTTTTCTACAAGGAGCCAAATAAACCAACAACAAATCTGAATGGTGGAGCTGCTAACCGCAGAATTACTGTTTTCTTGACAATTTCTTAGTTTTAGTGTGCTGAGGCATTTCAGTATTAATCGAAACTACCCTCAGAAGAAATAAGAACCTTCCTTCTCACTTGTGGTTTTGTGAATAAACAAAAGAACAACATTGATTATCCTGCCCTCAGAGGCTGTGTCTGGCTTTCATGTGTAATAGATAACACAGAACACCAGAATAGAGCCACTTTAGTTGAATACATTGGAGCTCTGAATACAAACGCGTTTCTGGACTGACCTTTCCTGAATTAAATGTTATTCCTCACCTAACAGCAGGAAGCTGCCATATACACAGTTCCCCTTCACGTCACTGTAGAGTTATGAACTCCAAGATAAAGGGCAGATCCTTTTCTCCGAAAGAAAAATAATCTGCGGGCTGGAGATTGCGATGCAGACGAAAAGCATGTTTTGGTGACCAAAATAGCAGAGGAGGAAGAGCGACGTCTGAGAGAGAGAAAAAAGGACTATTAGGGAGATGCAAATAGAGAAAGTGAACTGTTTCTCAGCCCTCTCTGCCAGATTTTCAACAGAGCACAACAAACTTGAGCAATTCTCGCAGCAGTTGTCCATGGGAACTTATCCAAGGCACATCGGAGTGGACCCTCCTAGGAAGTTCTGTTAGATTGAGAATAGTACTTTATGAAGACCAAAGTAATAGAGCACTTTCATCCAAATTTCAGCAAACTACAAGAAAACTTTGGGATTATAGCTGAAAAAGGACCGGAAGCAGCCACTTGGAAAGTAGAGCTACTCCTTTCCTTGTCCTTTTTTTCTGTGTTTTCCTCATGTAATGTATTCACTGCCTGCCAGCAAGCACTAAACTTCCATCTTCCAACTGGACCACAGTTTCATCTTATCAGGAGAGGGGATTGAGCTGACTGGAACGAAACTCTCACATACTCCCCTGCCAAAGGGTTTTGTTTCGCTGCCGCTGATAATTTTACCGTGTGTAACATGGAGATGGAAAAGGGACATACGTCTATCCGGAGAGGAGTGAGCTGGAGTCCAGGAGGATTGAGGAAACCTCTCCAGGCAACCCAAAACACTCCTGGGACGGAATGCAATGCATCATGGGAGACAACAGGATTCAACAAAGAACAGATGAGCCGGAAAACAAGTAAGTGTTGTTTATCTGGCATTTGCCGTCCTTTTCTGGGACGCTCAAGCAGCAGCCAGAATGTGTATTGTTACCAGTGGTGGAAGAAGTACTCAGATCTTTCAATTGGAGTGTAACGATAGTTTTTACAAGTTAAAGTCCTGCATTTAAATCCTTTACCAAGTTAAATTGCATAAGTCAAAGATATTTAAACTTCCAAAATAGCATGTATTCATAATGCAAAATATCTTAATTTAGAATAGTTACAATTATACTTCATCACTTAATGTAAAACAGCTGGTAAAGCTAAAGCTTGTGGGGCTATGATAATTACTTTATGAACTACTGGGTAGCTTGTCAATTCACTCCCTGGGGATCAATAAAGTCATCATAAGTTATTCAGCGAATATATTTTGTATTTTTAATCTTAGCTGTGAAAATAAGTAAAGCTGACAAATGGAGTAAAAGTACATACATTTCTAGATGAGGTGTAATGGAGTAAAAGTATAACATTGCATATAATGGAACCACTCAAGTGAAAGTACACTTACTTCAAAATCATACCTACATGTAAGTACAGCATTTGAATGTATTTATTTAGTTACTTTCCACTCCTGATTGTTGCTTTTTTTTACTTCATAGGAAATGTAGTTGTGAACACATTTCCGGTGGTTGTTTGTAGTGCTGCCTTAATGCTACAGTGTGGCTTGAACTGCAATATATCATCATATCAGATAACCTATAACTGAGGGGAGTAGACAGCAAATAGACAATACAGACAGCCCTGCCTCCTCAGTGCAACTTGACACAGTGAAGCTCTCTATGAAACATCTGTTTCCATGCTGTAAAAATACAGGCAGCCCCAACAGCAATGGAAATGCAATCATGCATCACTGCTAAAGGGCAGTCTGAATATACAACACAGCCACTGAAAATAATGGGCTAACCTGTGGCAAAGCCGTTTGGAAACTTCTTCAGAAACCTCTTTTTACATTCACAGACGGCAAAAGGATTTCACACTGCATAATAACACCAACAACATTTTGTTGGTAAATGGAAAATGGAAAAACAATGAAACAATCCTTATCTGGAAAGGTAATTAACTGGGCTGGAACATCTGTCAGGCATTATTCAAAGAGTGAAATGCATTGTGCATTGAGGAAGTATTACAGAAAGGTCATGGCCATCAGATAACTGTCCCTGATATAGATCTAAGTATAGCCTCTGTACCTTCAAAACTGCTCCCTTCACTCATTACTCACTAATTAGTTTCCTCAAAGCGAACACAGATCACCGATAATAACACTAAAGACAGTAATTAGTCGACTACACCTTTGCAGAAACCTTTCATAATAACACACAGTTGTTACAATACGAGCGGCAGAGCTCAGTCTTTTATTTCTCCCATGGGATCCAGTGGGAGTTTGAGTCACATTCAGCAGGGTAAGATCCCAGGACCCCTGTTAATCCGTGCCTTTCCATACCGCTTCACACATCACCCACGGGGGCTAGTGCTGTCATCCCGCTCACCCCACAGCCATCGCCCGGATAAAGATAACATCCGACAGGGTAATCTAACCTTTGATACACAAATGCAGAGTTGGCCCCCCTGACTTAAATCCTCCCGCTGTGGGGGCAGTTAGCCGTCTGCTGTCACCCACGCAGGGATGAGGGGATGGGACAGAGGGCAGGGGGGTGAGGTAGAGAAAGTTAGAGGTAGGGAAATGAGATTCTTGCATCAGTGTCGAGGTCTGACTTTTGTCTCTGCTGGAGGACAGGACATTCCTATCCTGCCCTTGCAGGCTGGAGCTTAGGGCCCAGAGGGTTCAGAAAGGGCAGACCCTCGGTTGGAGAGAGTGCACCATAAACACACACACTAACATGGTGATTTCCAGACAGACACAGAGGGCAGCAAAGGTCACAAGCTGAATCTCTAGAGTCTTAGTGGTCTGACTCTAATCCATAAGCTGCACATTTACTGGAGTATCTCTGCTCTCCCCTTCCCCTTCAAAGACTGCAACAAGGGATCACACACTTCCCTGCCATCACAGGACATTAGACGGAGATAAGCCGCTCATTACTTGCCATTGATTGGACAACTCTCCAGAACTGTCAAAACAACGTGCAGTCTGTGTGTGCATCAATACTCGAGCTACTAAAGCCCCTGGGCTCTTTTCTCTGAGGCATATATCTCCGTATTTATAATTAATGGAAACCCTGGAGGTGGTGGTGCAGATTTGAAAAAGGGAAACAGAGCTGGAGGCTGAATGACAGACAGCACAGCCTCCAGCTACAGACCACCTCCCTCCCTGCCTGTCTGCCTGTCTGTGTGCTGGGCTGCGGAGAAAGAGAAATCCGATCCTGTGTCCCGCTACAGAAAGGGGGTGTGAAGCTATCAGACGCAGTTACATTGAAAAAACTCTTGTGGAAGTACAACAAAAAAGCGGAGCTCTGAATTTGAACATAAAAAGGTAAGGGAATAGGCTCTAAATTGAATCCAGCCATGCCATTTAAACTTCCAGTTAACTTTCGGATCTTTATAACCTTGAATTAAAACTTCTTCTTTACTTTTTGGGGGAGAAATATGACATGACTTAGTAGCATCCTGTTGTTTTTGGAACTTGTGTGATTTCCCAATCTTAAAACTTGGAGGTTATTTGTTTTAATTCATAAATGAAAAACTTTTAAACAAAGTCCAAATAACTTTTCAGATTTTCTGTGATCCGTTCATTCAGATCTGTATGCCCTGTAGCTTTAAGAAAATGAATTCATTTCTGTAACATATTTATTAACATTTATTGGTTGTTATTATGATTTTTATTAGTTTACAGTTTATATATTTGCTGGGAATTAAATGACTTAGTGGTTGGTGTCATTTTATCTGATAATAAAACGTTTTCTACGCATTTTCATTTAATCGTTTATTTGGCAGGGACAATGCACAGTAATGAACACTTAAAACATTCAAATGTGTCAAGCGTAACAGTGCCAGATTTAGCTTTGAGCTAATTTCCATCCGCAGTCCCTCACATAAAACATTTAAGAAAATTACATTTTACAAGCATTCTACGCATTACTATCAATTCTGCTGAGAGAAATATGTAAATCATGATGGGATTTGCACCTGTGTGTTACTTGATAACCACTCTGGCACCCACTAGAGGTAACTAGATGTGTACAGCTGGAGGACATTTGATTTCTAGCCTTACTGCTCTGGTTCTGGTATATCCAAGTAGTCTGATTTATCAAATTAAATAGCTAATAAAAATGTCAAGACCTGTGCTGGTGTTCGCAGCTATATTAATAAATAATATGGTAGGTTCTCTCCGGCAGTCTATAAAGGAAAGAGATTTATGCTCATGTCAACAGGACTGCTTGTTTAAAAGGGTTGTGTGAAAGTGCTTTCATCCCTCTTATATTGTTGTCACCAATATGTGAGATGGTTGATATATCCCCTTCTAATAGCGTCCCGTTCTTTCTTTCCTCTCTCACTGTCAGGTTGAGTGATTTATCATAGTTGACACTGACATTGATGTATTTCCAGACATAAGCATTGTCAAGCGGTAAACTTTTTTGCATCTAAATGCACTGTTTATAATCCAGAAGGGCCTATAGTTCCCATTTTATATATTACATTAATGAGATGATAAAGGCATGCTATTGAACTTTAGATAGGTCCTTGTTAAAGGAACTCATGGGTGACCTACAAAGAGTTAATTCAATTACTGCTGAGGGTAGACTGAAAGTCTGTAAAATCAATGACAGATGCATATTATTCCCTTTCACTGGGGGAATGATCATGTTAGCTTTATACTCTGTGCCAGGAAAAAATACATGCAGAATTAGCTTTATATAGGAAAGCTTTACAAATGATTGATTTACGCATAATTGTTGTGATTGGCACATGATAAGGTCAAGTAATGTAGCTCCCTGGATACATCACCTTATTAAATAAAGAAGGAGTCATGGCTGTGCGAGTGAGACGTTGTCTTTCACAGGTCAGAGTTACATAAATAACATGAATAATCTACCAGATGTTATTCTCCAATAAAATACTCATCAGAGTTTCTTCTTAAAGGTTTTTATTATGTTTAAGGAATATGCAGCTTTGATTTTCCTCTTGTAAACTTAAAGTATGATGTATTCACTATATTTAAGATGGGAACACTTGATTGTATATATGTTTATAGACAGCAGTCGAAATATGTCATTTTTGGAAGCCAATTAAAAAAAGATCGTCTATTAAGGGTTTGAGCTGCAGCACAAATTAACTACAGAGAGAAACCAAAGGCACGTTGGAAGCTCACGCGGGGAGTTTTCTCAGCGGTGGAGGAATGCTCAGGGAGGAACTGCTGCAGATGGCAGAGGAAATAGCTCCGCTGTCTGGAATGGAGCTCTTAAGCTCCAAAAACAAACTTGTCAATTTTAACATAGGTAACAGGTAATCAGCATAACTGCCGTATCGGTTAAAGACCATGATTGACAACAATTTCTCTCGGTACTGTCGGAAAAATGACCCAGATCTTTTATGAACTTAAGTCAACACGCTTATTAAAATGTTTTTCCTCCTACGTCTGTTAGTTCTTTGTCTCAAGCTCCAGTCAGCTGAGTCAAGTGTCCACAAAGCTCTATTTTTCTCACTGGATTGGTTGTAATCAAAAGCAAAGCAGAATCAGAACCAGATGGTGCAGAAACAATTATGTGGGTTTTTAAAGAGAATATTTAGTCCCTGACTTGTTAAAAATGTGTCCTTGCTGGTTCTCTCTATTTGTACTGTACATAAAAGTGGTTTGGTGAGCTTTAATTAGATGTTGAGGGAGTTGTCTTTGTTTAAGGAGTAGATGTAGCCCATTACTAAGTCGGCCAAAGTTAGGGGTCCCTTTCATCACAAAAAAGACAAAATCCCTTGTTTCTCTCATTAATCAGATTTCCAACTTTCTCTCCCTTTCTCTTTTACTCCAGATCTGACGAGGAGTGCCAGTCTGTCAGAGAAGGAGCTAAAGGAGGCCCGTGTCAGGAGTCAGATCATCGCTGCTCAGCTCACAGTCCCTTCAAACTCCAGCTCCAGAGGTGTGCAGCTTTTCAACCGGCGCAAGCAAAGGGTCAGCGCCTTTACACTCGAAAGCTGTGGAGAGGGGTCAAGGGGTGACGGACCTGAGAATGTGAAGACAGACCCCTCTAGTAACAAAATAACATGGGCAGAGAAGAGCACTGAAGAAAAGGATAGACACCTGAACTTTAAGAACAGTAAGCCACTCTTGTCACCACCTGGCAGGGCACATTCAGTAGGTGATATCATGGAGGAACCAGCTAAAGATTTCGACAAGGTAGTCGAAATGGAAGACAGTGTTATCCAAGAGAGACATTTCCTACCTGTCAAGGAAGAACAGGAGGAAGAGGAAGAGGCAAGAGATAAACTCTCAGTGGAGCTTGAGGACAAAGTCAAGGATGAGATTCCCCCTGGAAGTAATAATACTGATCCGGTTGTGATGAGACAGGCTGAGTGTGAGGCAGAGATAAATGAGGGCCACACAGGGCCAATTCGCCCTGGAAAGCTTCATAATGGCTGCCACAGTACCTCTGGGCCTGAGAGGGTTCTTGTTCCAACAACCAAGCAGACTAACACCATCATCAATCGAACGGCCAGGCCTTTTTTCTCGCCATTGACAGTGCAGTCACCAGAGTCCTCCAGCCCTGTCATGGATGTTCCCCCTCCTCCTTCTTACGACACTCCTCCCCTCCCTGTTTACACTGCTCCTCAACCTTCGGCGTTCTCACCACTGCCTCCGCCTCCGTCATATCCCACACCTCCTCTGCCGGCTTTTACAAACCAGCCGCCGCAGAACTTCTACTCCAGTCCACCTCTGATGTCTCCCGTCTTGTCTCCTCCACCCCCCCAGTTCCCTGTGTCTTCTGTCTCTCAGTTCCCACCCATGCCCCATTATGGCCCTCCCAACGTCCCAAAGCCCTCCACCTTTGTTCCTCAGCCTGCTCAAGAGAGGAAGTCTATGACACCAATCAAAACGGGAATACTTGAGGAGGGTGCTGCTAGAAGAGGGAATAGGAAGTCAATGTTCACCTTCAAAGAGAAGACGGTGGTAGCTCCGAACCCTGAGCTTCTCTCTCTGGTGCAGGGGGTGGATGAAAGGAAGAAACATGGACATATATCTGTGCCTGAGCCAGTATCCGAGGAAGAGTTGCTGGCACTGGGTGCTGAGGCCTCCAACTTCCTCGCCAAGGAGGAGGACAGGGCAGAAGAGGAAAGAGCTCCAGAGTGGGCTTCCAGCCTCAAGGCCTCCAGGACCCGTCCCAGGGCAGAGCATGTGCCAGATCATAGCCTCACCAATGTATCAGGAAAAGGGGCTGAGCTGTTCGCAAAGCGACAGTCCAGGATGGAGAAATATGTGATTGAGAAGCAAAATTCGGGACAAATGAGGTCTCCTTCTCCCACTATGTCTCTGCCACCATCTTGGGTGTACCCAGCAAACATGCCTGGCAGGGTGAAAGCCATTGCAAAAGATTCTGACATGGGGGCTCAGCTTTCAGAAAAACTAAAGGCCCAACAAGCTGTCCAGCAAAAACCAAGACAAAAAGCCCCAGAGCCAGAGCCAATCGCAGAGCCTCCGTTAGAAAATGGTTGCTCCAAGTTAGAGATGGACTTGTCAAGGCACCGGCCTTACCAGCTTTCCTCTTCCCTCTTCATCCTCAACCCAGTCAAGGACCCCCTTAGTACCTTACCCAAAGGAGCACCACAGTCCAAGAACCTGATATCAAACCAGCCTTTCTCTAGACAGACTTCCTTACCTCATAACCCTCCTTCTCACTTCCGTACCCAGAGTATGTCACCACAGCTGCCCCTCAGCCCCACAAGAAGAGAAGCTGAATATCCACCAAATCCAGCTTATGGGCAGCCAAGGATCAGCTCTCCTATGTCGGCCTTCTCTCCAGAGCGAGTGTCCTCTCCACGGTCAGGGGTCCAGGCACCAAGGCCTATGTTTTCTGCAAAGAAGGCAGGGATTGCACCACAGGTGTGGAGACCCTCTCTCCACTATTTCTAGAAAATGTGTTTACATCTGAAGGATAGTTGGAAAACTGAAACTGAATTTAGTATATAGGGCAGTTTGATGCACTTTTCTGTTTAACCTGTGCCTTCTAGAACTATTTATTGTATTATAGGTAAATAACAGAGCGGAATATTTGATATGTGAAAAGTCACATGATTCAGTAAGCAATTGATTGTATAAGAAATGATTAATAATAGATGCAATTAGGGCCGTACCGTGCCTGCTTCTTCCAGGATTATCTAAGTGACAACAACTAAATTGTTCACTGAATCTATAATTGTACTTTCCCGCAGTAATTACCTGCAGTTAAAATTAAAATGTGCCAAGCGCGTCAGCACTAAAATACTTACATTTTTTGTATAATTTGAAATATGATCAGAAACAACCTCACACTTTTTCCACTTTTCTCTCCCAGTCCTGTGGGCACCAGGGTGATGCTGCTTCATAAAGCACTTTAACAGATGGTCTGGCATCTGCTTTATGATCTATGGTTTGCAATTTAATTCTGCTCACTGACATGAAAGTTGCAGGGAGAGAACTCCTTTTATGTCTTTATGTCTTAGGGGTAATTTACTCTGCTTTCCAGCTTTTCCTACATAAATATATAGTGTGTACTTTGATTCTTTGATGTTTCAATTCTACAGGCTGCATACTAATTTGTATCATGGACATATATATTGTTTTCATGACTTAAAGTTGTAATTCCAGAAGTATTTTCTCACATAACATCATCAATCACTGTTGTTATAGACTACAGGGTTTGTGTTTGTTTCATTTCATAAACTTTGATTCACTGCTCTCTTCTGCTTTTTTCCTGTCTGTAATGATTGATTTCTTTGTGTGAGTGAGTCTTTCCTTCTCTGATTAAAACTTTGTGTGACCTCTTTCTCCTTTTCTCAGTTCCTGACTTCACTTACTTCTTTCAACCATTAGTTTGACTGACTACTGTTTGTTATTTCACTTTCCTTTCTTTCTTGCAATCACTGCAAACACTTGAACATGCAAATAAACGTTATGTTTCCGTTTAGCGCAAAGATAATATGCAGCAGGAGACTTGTTCTATTTTGGAACACAGCATGTGACTTTGAAATCAAAATATGTATTCCATCTTGCCATTGCAAGATATTTGAGCCATAATAATAATTTGAGTTATGTGTGTTCATGTTAAGATCTGATCCTTGTTGAAGTGGGGGGGGGGGGGGGGTCGGGGGTCTAACATTCAGACACATGGAATAACCTTTTACCTGGGTCTGTTTATTTCACAGATGCGCTGAACCTTAGTAATGTGATCAGTGACATTCATCTTAAAGACCATACATTTACAGGATACTAAGCCGAGCAGTTCAGTCTATAACACAGTGTTTTTGCTTACAGAGTGGAGATTGTTTGCTCTTAATTAGTATGTGCATTAGAAGGAATGCTGTCCTTGCTTCAGTCGAGTAACTTCATATCCCCGTAAAGGTTAACCATCTAGGCTAAATGACAGTAACCTGAGAGAGACACTAAAGACTGTGCATGTGTCCTAGCAGTGTCCTAGCCAGGCTTAATGAAGAAGACGAAGGGAGTACACAGAGATAGGCTGGATGCCACTGGGGGTCAGACTTAACACTTACAAAATATTTGACACAAAATGCACCTAGTCGCGAATAGACTTAAGGCCTGTTTCACTGTAACATGTTGGGCTTTTGCAAGTTTAAGCAAAACAAAAAATCTCGACATGGTCAAATCAAAACCTTAGCATTAACATAACTAAGACATTTATTTATTCCAAATGATTGTATAACCATTTGTTATTTGCATGTTTGTGTGATGTATTTTTGAATGTAAGTCTAAGATATATCATTTGTCCTGGTCCAACAGACACCAACGGATTCCTCCCCAGTTGAATCCCGCAGTCAGGCTCCAACACCAACCAGGACGCCCAGCCTGACCAGACGTTTCAGCAGCCCAGAGGGCCCGGCACCTGGGACCTGGGCTCCCAGCCTCCAAGCTAACCGGCCCTCCACCGCCATCTCTAGCGGCTCAGTAACTTCCCCTGTATCCTCTACCAGAGGTACCAGATGCCAATCCCCTGTGGCCAGTCAGAATATCCAATTGTCCATGGTGACCTCCAGTACAGCATCCAGAACCTCTCAAACATTTACAGCCACTTCTTCACGCTCTTCTCCTTGGGGTTCAAGATGTCAGTCGCCAATGGTTAGCCAGAATACCCAGTCTTCCACCAACACCTCTATTCCTGGTTATAGACCATCCCAAACACCTACAACTACTACCCCTTTTTCTCCTCCTTGGGGTTCAAGATGCCAGTCCCCGTTGGTGAACCAGTGTACACAATCTTCCACTGTATCCTCTACATCCAAACCAACCCCAACATCTACAGCTGCATCACCACGCTCTCCTCCTTTGGGGTCAAGGTGCCAGTCCCCTAAGGTGAGCCAAAAAAGCCATTCTTCCACAATTACCTTTGTTCCTACATCCAGACCAACCCAAACATTGACAGCCACCTCTCCTGTGTCTCCTCCTTGGAGCTCACGTCCCCAGTCTCCTGCACTCTCCCAGACTAGTTTATCCTTCTCCGCCACTAAACCTCTGCACATATTTTCTGCAACCTCTCCTGTTCCCCCACCCAAAGACAGTCGCTGCATGTCCCCCATTGTTGATAACCAAGACTCTAAAGCCAACCACCGCCTCCTGGCCAAGAACATCATCAATGCAGCCAAACGCAAAAACAGCCCCTCCCCTGGAGCACTAAGCGGCCACAGCCTCCCCATCTCCCCACTGGGAAATTCTCACCATGGCTACGACTGTAACAAACCACCCATGAGTCCTTTCCAGTCGCGGGCATTTGGGGCCCAGTCCCCTACCTTCACCAGCCCTCCTCCAACCCCAACACAGAGGATCTGTTCACCTGTGAGGCTCTACAACACTCGCTCCCTCACCGACTCTGATGCCTCTGTTGAGTCTGAAGACTCAGGCCTGCGATCGCCCGGCCTGCACTCCTACAACACCTGTCCCCGTGGCTGGGGCGGCAGCCTGAGAGTGAAGAGAAGCACTGTCTCCACGGACCTTTGAGGGTATTAATGGCAGGCAATCAAAGCATGATTTAGGTTCATAGACATTTTGGGCATTGGGTTAATCAGAAAAAGAGTTTCTGATGGCGCATTATTATACTTTTCCTTTGAAGATACCTTTCTATAACTTTGAATACCAATCCTTGACAATGGTAAATATTTTATTAAGGTAGTATTAGTACTTTATATGACTCACATTCAAAGTATGTACTGACAAGAACAAGCTTTTTACATAACCCAGTTGCTGTGGCTTGTACGCTTCTTAAATGCCAAAAAGACAAAAAATAGAGTAACCAAAGATATTTGAATCCGCTTCAATATGATTCCTTTTACACAAAACATACATTCACACTGTTCTAGTTCAATTGTGTATGATTACATAGTTTTTAATGTTATAAATGAAATATCAATATGTTTGCTGGTGTGACGCAAGTCAAAATGGGAAGAGACTTGAAGAATTGTAAGACATAGAAGGGACACATTAAGTAAATAATGTATACATATTTAGCTGACAAAAGCACAGTGGTAAGTGGTACAATGCTAATCACATTATCATACAGTATTCACCATAGTTTATTATCCATTTTAATCAATGGGAAATAACTCATATGCATAATTATCGCAGTGCAATAATCAATTTAACACAGCGAATGTTATGTATGTTATATGTTGATTTATGTACTGCATTTTCTAAAATGAAGGTAAGCTTTACAGAGAGATTGAGGGGGAATGACAAGGAGATGAAGAGACGAAGAGTTATGTAGAGGTTGGGGCATTTACGCACATGTTCAATCAAGCACCTGATTCAGGACAAAGAAATATTCCAAAGACTTATTCCCCTATGTAAAACCATTGATGGTGAATAATTCAATAAACAATATTAGCTGTCAAAATGCAAATGTAATGGCATATTGATTGTAATAGTCGCATTGGAGATTGATGGTTGTTGATATCTGTCATGAGGAACCTTTTAATATGTTCTGTGCCTGTGCTTATTGTACAAAGTGCCTGTTTGGATGAGAAAATGCGTATGTCAGAAAAGGTATAACAAATGTTGTTAAAAAAGGTTAGAAGAATGTTGTATGTTGTGAAATAATAATCTAAGTGTTTGTGAGAAAATTATAAGAGGAATGGATTGTATTTTAAATACATACATATCTGAAATGTACATTCTCTTTTACTTCTAAAGTTTCTTTTTATACTTGATTTGCACTTCTGTTCATTCCATTTCAATGGCTCAATTGGCATTATGAAAACATGATTTCCTTAAACAAACAGGTGTCATTCACAACAGAAATAGCAAATACATTTTATTTTGTGAAAATGAAAATATTCCTGCACAAAAATATATGTTGACAAGATGGTAACATTTAGCTGTAAACTTGACTGCTGCCTTCAAACCACATCTGGCTTTTTGTTTACACCATTCGCACATTGCCCAATCCCATACCATCACACACACAACAGATCAGTCTTCACTCTGACGTGAAGGCCAAAAGCATCAGCACATTTATAAATATTTACTTCTGTGTGTGTTTTTGAGTGGCAGGGACACCTGCTTCACATTGACCTGGCTCCTTCAGCAGGATTAAGCCTATTACTGTCATGGATAGGTTTCAACTTGGGTCACCTTTGGACAAACCAAACACCGCCGGCATCCTCAGACACAGAGTAAATAATCACAACATGTTTTTTCTTTAAATGTAGCTCATATTTCTTTCATTTTATAACAGTATGATGTCTGAAAATAAATGCAAATAAAAAGTGATGACACATTAATTCAAATAATGTATACTTTGTCTTTTGTGTCCTTAATGCACTTCAACAGCATCTCCATTACAATTGTAGTTGATAAAGTATATTTTATTGTGGTTTAATAGTTTGATTGATATGTTTTAAATTGCCTATTTTCAGTCCCAAAAAAAGTGATTAACAACCTCTTCTTGTATTAAATTCCTGTAACATTATAATAAATAGGCTTCGAATAAGCTTACAAATTCTGGCATACAGTATGTGCAGGATAACCCTCCGTATTTGTAGACTAACTAACTAATTTTGTTTTACAGAGGCTTGCATCATGCTTCACAGTGCAACATACTACATATTTAAGGGGATAGTTAGGCGAAATAAATGTCCCTTGCAGCATCTCCTTGGCGTGAAAAGAAAACCAAAGCCAAATGTATCATAGGTTCAAAGACTGCCATCTGTAGGACCCCAGACAGAAGTTCAAATGAGGCGACGCGGTTTGAACTTAAGTTATGTTATGTGGCCTGGATGGCACTGTATCAAAAATAAATTGTATTTTTCATACGTACTCTCAGGGTTTTTCTTTTTTTTTCAAGAATTCCTCATAGTATTAAAATGAGGCAAGAAAATAATATAAAGAAAAACAGTATTACTATACTTGTTCTTCTACGCACAAATTCTTTATTCTTATTCCGCCGGTTATTCCGCCACATTCCACATCGCAGAAACTCCGTTCAAACATCAAAACGTTCATCTCGGTAGGGAATCGATGGCTATTACTTTTCTCATTCATAACTTTCATAATTACCGAGATATATCCCATAATCCATCACATTTTTAACATGAAAGTCAATGGAGAAACTCTTCAGACTTGAAAAATCTTCATGCGACTTCAGCTGCTAACTGTTCCTTCATACTTTCACTCAGAAACCTCATTCTAACTTTAAGATGTTACACATCTTTCTGACATTATTCATATTAAACAACTTTTAAATCAGATTCATACTTTTAGAGATATTAAACATTGTTCAGACCTTGGTAAAGAGGCCTTTTTCAGATTTTAACATTAGTGCGTATTGCGCAGTTCGTTAAGGCTAGAGTGCGTGATATCACAGGTAGAGTGGAGGAGAGCTTGACATTTGCCTTCATATTTCTTTTTAAACCTGCCATAATTCCCAAACCCTACACTCCTGAGACATCATTTTGCATGAGAAACGTAGGAAAACATCTCGTAGCTTGAAAAATTAAAATTAATTAAGCAAAATAATAGAAGTGACAAAGACTTTCAACATGTCTCCATTAAAGCCCATTGTACATTCAGGCTGGTCTTACTTCACAGCAGCCGCCGCACACCTTTAGTTAATCTGCAAAAGTACACAAAAAGCACACTTCAGATGCTCAGGGTCCTTAAGATGCTTCACGCGTTGCCATTTCACCAATATCTGTTACGGTTCTTCAACAAAACGTTCACATGTAAGAGGTTTATCTCTCATTCAGAACAATGGAAAGGCTCTCCTCTTACTGATTACTGCATATCACCATGGAATCCTTTGATCTCTGGGCTCAAGCGCAGGTGTTTCATAACGTCGTTAGCTCAAACACAAACACCTGTGTGATGGAACACGATAATGTCATAACTCCAACTGACATGCTCAGAACGCCACCAAACATCACATGATGGTTAACAGTGGCCCTGAACAGCTCTACATCAAATCTGATGGTACGTAATGTTGCCATAAAACACGATGTCGCTGTAACTCCAATGGACACGGTCCAATCGTCCCCCAATCTTCACTTGTATATCACCGGTCCATGCCTCACCAGCTCTACGCCAAATCTGAGATCTCACCATATGCCGTTTCCATGGAAACGCATCCCTCGTCATAAAATACGATGTTGTTGTGATACCTATGCAAATGGCCTAAAACAGCACCAGACTTCAGATAATGGTTAATGGTCCGGCCCTCAACAGCTCTATGTCAATCATGGGGTGTCATCATATGCCGTTTCCATGGAAACGCATCCCTCGCCAAAAAACACGATGTTGTCGTAACTGATAGGAAAATGGTCAAAACACCACCAGACTTCAGATGACGGTTAATGGTCCAGCCCTCAACATGTCTATGTGCCATTAGTGAGTTTTCCTCAAAAGCTGTTGCCATGGCAACGCATCCCTTGCAATATTCCACAATATTGCTATAACTCCAATGAAAATTGTCAAAAAGTGCTAAACCTTCAAATGTGTGCTAACAGTCCAGCCGTGAAGACATCTACATGTACGTGACATCTACGTGCCATGAAACACGGTTTTCTCATAACTTCAGTGAAAATGCTACAAACAACACAAAACTTCACAGGTTTGGTAACGATGCAGCCATCAACATATCTAAGCGTATTGTGGGGTGTCATCAAATACCGTTGCCATGGCGACAGATCATTCGCCATCAAGTTAGTTCCATAGTTTGCAGTTCAAATATTCTGATGCTTTGCAAAGCCTTTTTACTTCCTTACACATTCAGTCACTACTACTTACATTTAATATCTAACTCCTTCAGCCTACTTTCAGCTATAGAAACCATTCAACTATTACATTATTCAGCTATTTCAGGACATTGAGGCAATACATGTTGTTGTTATACCTTTTTTAAACCTTTTCTTTTAAATATTAAGCTTCTTCACTATTTTTCGTGCTCTCCCAGTTTAACATTTCACTTTCGAGTTTTCACATATAATCCTCAATGCATTCTTAATGGGACTCAGTGCTGCAGTTGGTTACCATGGTGTTGCTGGGCAGATTTGGGCCACACACCTGAGTGACATCATCTAATCAGAGCAGACACGCCCACAGACAGACTGGATGTCTATACCACGCACGCACGCACACACACACACACACACACACACACACACACACACACACACACACACACACACACACACACACACAGGATGTCTCTAATACCTATGTAAAGACACACACACACACACACACACACACACACACACACACACACACACACACACACACACACACACACACACACACACAATACCTGGGAAGACAGAAGGATGGAGTATTAATCCCCTCTGGGGTGGGGGGGGGGGGAGTGGGCACACCCCTTTTTATAGGCGAACCTCCCAGTTATTGATGTCAGACATCTCATTTTGTTTTTCTACACCTCATACTCCCCAAAACCACACACCCCTTCAAAATAAAAGCCCTATAGATGTAATGCTACTTGAAATCACACTACTACGTACATCTGATATTTAACTCCTTCAGCCTACTTTCAGCTACAGAAACCACTCAATTATTAACTTATTCAGCTATTTCAGGACATTGAGGCTATACATTTTTTGTGTATACCTTTTTAAAACCTTTTCTTTTAAATATTAAGCTTCTTCACTATTTTTCCTACTCTTCCAGTTTCACATTTAACTTTCAAGTTTTCAACAAAGTCATTGCAATGCATTTGAGCTGTAACAATTTTGATTCAAATCATTTCACTTTTCTGCATTTCTCCGCAAAGTTCAGCAAAACACTTACTTGGTTTTTGTAGCTAAAAGCAGCTACAGAGACCATTCAACTAATAACATATTCAGCTTTTTCTGCATTTTCAGCTAAATTCAGCAACAAATGTACACAGTTTACAGCATTCACACGCATTTTCAGCAGAAAATGCATTTTCTAGTTAACATCTGCTTTTCCTGACAAGCCCACATATCTGTAAGTTCTGAACTCTGCAGTGTCCACATTAGTCATACTTGCATCATCTTTTTACTTTCAGTCACAATATGTTGAGCAGTGTAGGCCTACGCATTTCTAGTAACCTGGATGCTCACTTATTCAATTAAAATGTCATGATGAATATAACTTGTGCGATTCTGGCTCAGCTTTGTTGAGGGATAAAAACGTGAGATCTCTGTGTTAAATATCACAGGTTTAATTTAGCTCAAAAAGTGAAGAGAACTGTCAAGAGAACTGCAAATAAGATGGCATGTCATCAGCTGTATAGGTTTGGGGGCTCATATTCACATTAACCCTACAGCAACATTTAAACAAGTTTTATATTTCATCTTGTCCTTTAACCCCTTAATGCATTCCACAGCCCGTCCAATACTATTGGACGGGCTGTGGAATATATCTATTGGCAATACACTTATGTGAAAGTTAAGTTAGTTTAACTTCCTAAACTCTCTTTTCTTTACCATACAAAGAGGAACAGGCTACATATTCTTAAATATAACTATTGGGATGGGGCATTTAACAACGTGGTCTGTATATCATGTAGTCAAAACTGCTGAACATACATTTTTCAACACAAGCTAACCTTTGCAATCCCTGCCGCTGCTACACAAGTGCACCTATTAACCTACAAATATAGCTGTTTTCTTTGGTTTGCTCAATTTCGGCGTATACAATTAGATATATTGTTGGTATAGCTGCCTATGCTGTTCACCCAGTAAAGTGAAAACCTGTATTGAGACAGTAGATGCCGCTCTTGAGGTGAAAAGGACGAACGCCAGCGCAGTGGTTTCCTCGTTTGACAGCAGGGGCTTGTTTTACTGCACAAAACAACAAGGATGAAGATTTCAAGGGACGATGCGGCAACAGAGATAATCGAGGAGGCGTTTAGCTGAAAGGCCAGCAGCGTTATCTCCATTTCCCGGTGTGATTTACGCTACGAAAGTAACGCCAGGCAACTTGAATATCGACTGAACTGCAGATGAATGCCTGTGCCTTAAAGTGTCCCTGCATTTGTTGTTATTAGCTGCTAATGCTAACCATAGAAGTTGCGAGCTAGCTGGGCTAGCAAGCTAATTGCTAAAGCGAGGAAAAGATCATTAGCCTCCTATGTTTGATTTACTTATCGCTGTCCGGGGCGAGTAATCTCGGCGTCGTGTAGCCTACTGTAGCTGATGGAGCCAGCTAACCTTGGCTTCAGTAGTTCAAGAACTGAAGCTTTGGTTAAGCTTTTAAAGTACCAGCCATAGTAGTTAACGTCATCTAGTTAGCTTGCCAGTTAGCCACCACTATACTTGGAAGAATGAATAGAAAACACCATCATTATAAAGGGGCAGAAGTCAGCTGCTGCGTGAAATACTTCTTATTTGGATTCAACATTTTATTCTGGGTAAGTAAATACACTTTTTAAATGTCCTGTCGGTGCCACAAGCAAAGAATAACGCTAATGTTGCTAACTTAAAGTCTCATTAAGTACTTGGGTAAGTTAGCTTTACGTTAGCACCTTTTTAGAGTTAGCCAACTTGGATTTAGATTAATCCTTAAGTTTTAGTTTCACGATCTTTTAAGTTACTTGAAAAGTATTAAATGAGTTCTTGCTCATGCCATGTGTTGTTGTTGTTGTGCTGGTTTTGTGTTGTTGTTAAGCTTTGTATAGTAACTCATTGTATACGTATAACAGATTAGCTTGTTTACTTTACTGTCCTACAGGAAGTCACTAATTACTTACTAGTGTAGGATAGTAGTTATATGTGCTAGAGGTCTTTAGAGCATTATTGACATGACCTTTTAAAATGTTATTTTTGTCAACTTTTTTAGCAGATGTCCATTTATTGTACTTTTTTTTCTCACTTTTTGGTCAGCTGCATCTTTTACCCTTCACAAAACTCATATACTAATATTGTGGCTAAATCACTGATGTACATATATTAACATTTAATTGGCTAACTACAATAGTAAAGGGACCACTATTAATGATTAAGAGTTGGTGGCTGGTGGAGATACAAACTAACTTAAACAAAAGCTGGACTAATGTTAGTTTCTCTCCCAGCTCTGACTTGGCTGTAAAGACGGTACCATTGTGTTTGAGTTTGAGAAATTACATGTGTCTGTATTGTTAGATCAGTGGCACATCTCCTTCACAATGCCTCTCCATATGTATCCCTTCTAAGTCTGAAAAGTTCTTCTGTTCAGTCTCTTTCACCCCACCCTCCTTGCCCGTCTGCATTGCGTCTGTGCGGCTGGTGTATAATAATGTCTATGGGTGAAGGAATGGCGTGTCTCTGTGACCCACAGGGTCTTCCCACACATTGTTGGAGCTGGAGGAAAAAGCCACACAGGCCTGAATACCATCCAGCCCTCCTCTTTTCAAGCACCCCTTTTCACTCCCTCCATTACTATAGTGCCCGGGCTCTGTGGGATTGCATTGTTTCTCTCACTCACACACCCACAAACGCACAAAGAGGGCTGGTGATAACAAAGACTTGGGGGGGAGGACAGGGTGTGATTCTGTGTTTTCTCCCTTCCATATGCTTGTTCTGACGGACTCAACAGGCACATGGGGTCCACATGCAACTGGATATCTTCCTTTTCCTCCTTCGTCACCACCTCTTCGTTGCTCAACACTCCCCTTCAAGATGTAGGAGTTTCACAAACTGCTACTTTATCTCTGTCTTTTTCTTCTGAAACTGAGGTGCTATGAACTGACAAACATGCCTCAGACTGGAGCAATGCACATAATAATTTTACAATTGGCCTCACAAATGAAAAGTGCTCTGTAATTCAATCTTCCAGGAAATATTGAGTCATAGGGCCATAGTGTTGTCTGACTCATATTGTGTTTCACCTAACTATCCCCTTAACTGTATTGACACTCAGGCCAAGCCAACAGTCCTATGTCTGAGCTGCAACAAGTTCCAGCTCGCTAGCTGTTTCCGTTAATAATCGCTAGAAGTTGTTCTCCCCTTGTCTGTGTGCTGCTAAACACGATTTGACAGACAAGCTAGTGCATTGCCGAAATAGAGAGAGATGGGGTTTATTCTCTCCAAATCAACCCATTTGTCTTTCCTATAGTGATCTTGTCAGGCTTGAAAATGCTGTCTAAATTGAGACAGAATGCTTGTGAGACCTTACATTTTGTGAACAAAACAGAGTGCTAAAACCTAGTTTGGATTCTTCCATTGCTCATGCTCGCTGTTGACAGCCAGACATTTTCACCCAACAACATACCTTCTCACGTCCTCACAAAAGACACAATCCTCACAAACATCCCCTTAATTAATCATATTTTCTGCCTGAGCCGCAGAACTGTTTTTAGAAGCTCTATTTGCTGTAATTAAGGGCTTGTTACCAACTGGCTGAGTTGGTTGAAGGCAGGCTGTGTGTTATTATAAGTGCGACTGTCCACATTAGGGGATACATGCAGAATGGGCTACATTCAAGTGGACAGCTCAATGCACATAATGAAGTAAACATCAGTTCATGTTTTCACATGTTGCATATGCAGCATGTATCAGTGCATTGGAAGAAAGCCTTGTATTTCATGCTTTTATCTGCGCGTATAGTAGGACAGGAATAATTTGTTATCTAAGCAATTAGTCAATTGACAAAATAATTGGAAAAAAGTGGAGCTGATTGCAGCTTCTCCAATAAAAAAGGGGTTATCGGAATATAAATTGTGCTTTTTAGACAGATTATCAGACAAAACAAAAACGTGTAATATGTCATCTTGGGCTCTGGAAAATTCAAATAAGACAGAGACTTTAATCAACAGGTTAGTCAATAATACAAGTAATAGTTGCACTATAGTGTTCAGCCATGGCTTTAAATGTGTATCAAAGAAAAGGCCTCACAAAACAAAATTGTTCCTCTCCTCTAGTCTTATGTCTGAGGACGAATGCTAATTTGTTCTGTTTTGTAATATTTGCCATTTTCCACAGATAAAATCAGATGTGGACAGGAAGGCAACGTTCACTCACAAGGGTTTTTTCTTTTCTGATTCATTTTTATTTCAAAATGTTTTATATCTAATTTAGGTCAACACAATATCTAACTAGGTGGGGCTATCTCTAGAATCTATTCCACTTAGATATCATTTGGCTCTGAAACCTGTTTTATTTAAATGCTGTTGTAATTAATCAGGCACATGTCAATAGATTTTTCAGTGTCAAGTGTTGTGAAGTTTTAATTCATAATGTCTGAAAGTGATTTCTTCCTGTGAAATCGGAAGAGCTTCTCATTTAATCCACTGCGCTGGCAGTGACGCTGATATCATATCATATCATTAAGAATGGCTGCGTTCACACGGCCAGCCGCATTAGATATTCAGCTTTTTAGATAGTCAGCGAAAGGGCAGTCACACTTGAGTAAGTCTATACCCTGTGTATTTGTGTGTGTCTAGGCAGCGTGGAGCTTGGTGTGTCTGCTAGTTAGTTGAGGTTAATGGGATCAGCTGGCTCATGGAGCATCTTGTCAAGTGGTGATAATCTCTATTTCCACACGGAGAGTAAACCCTCACACTGGGACACACACATTGCAGGGGTACTTGATAACAATTCAAAATAAACTTGAAAGGTCTGATTTTAACAAACAAAGCGCATACAGGAACATCTAGTTCCAGACTTTGTGTATTTGCTCAGGGATATAAGCACATAGATTAGGTTAAATGTTCAAACATTGTACAGAAGAAAGAAATAAAGTATCTCGTTAGAGCCGTTGTGATTAAAGAAACTTTCAAACACCTTGTTTACGAATAAACAAAGCAAGAATAAGAATGTGCTATTCTTGGTTTTATTGCCTAATGGATAAAAGGGGATTAATGTGGATCTCTATGTTTAGCATCTATATTTTAAATGCTTTGTTTTGTATCTTCTTCTGGCTAAAAATCACTGATTATCAGGAGGTTATTTTACTCTTAGGAAGCATTGACAGAGTTTTCGCAGATAGTGTGCTTCAATGCCACCAACTGACCTGAATATGACTCTGGCTGCTCGGCCTGTGGGAAAAGTTAGATAAAAGAAAACACAGCGAGCACTGCACAAAGGCATGTTCAGTTCCAATGTACTCATTCAGTCAATTTCACTTCAGTCCAAACCATATTTTCCCATGAGGGATGTTTTGCTGCAGATAGGTCTTTAAAATAGGAACATAATACGGGTACAACATTTGCTGAAAAATAATGTGTGAGGCTTATATAGTGACAGACACTGCCTAGAAATACTTTGAGGTAACAGTTGGATTTCCTGCTTAAATTGGCTACATTTTAGTTTAATTTTAAGTATGACTCAACTTGCTGACCTATCCAAAAGGAGACTCAATGATTATCCATTTTATAAATAAAGACAATCGAGCTCAAATAACTAGTTGGGAAAGAAATTGAGACATAGTTGAAGAAATAGAAATCCAAAATGACAGGGCCTTAGGTTTGGACACCTTCATAGCTGTCTCACTTACAGCTGCCTTCAAGAACACCTCAATTAATCTGGGACATGGGGGAAATGCAACATGATATGCATTATAATACTATTGAATATAAATATTACTTACAATATAAATTAAATGGAATATTGTATGGTACACTGTATGTCAAATCACAGTGAGTATTTCTGTGCTGTTTTTCTTCAACATGCAGCTCTGGTATCACCAAAAATGTCGTTCCAAATTACGGGATGGACACTTTTTGAAGCATTTGAAGGCAGCACCAAATTATAATAATAATAATAATCCCAGTCATGTGCAATCTGTTCCTAAGTATTTCTGGTTAATTATAAACATTTTAAATGTCTCCTAAGTGAAGCAGTGGTATCATTTTAAACTTTAAGAAGGAAATTAAGTCCTTATGTGTGCCAGATATCACCCAACCGTGTTTCATCAACTCTTCCTGGTGCACTGTTGAGGACAAAGTAGTGCAAATAATACAGGAAGAACCGTTAAATGGTTGGCAGGCATTTACTAGAAAAGCTCCTCCCTTTACAACATACGCAATTATATATATTTACTGTGAACTGAACTTAACTTCCCTCAGTCAAAGTTGTCTTCCCCTTTTGAATGCTGAAATAAGCAACATTGATGCTACATTTTTTGTGGGAGTGCTACAGTTCCTTATTTTAGCATTTATACCCGATGTAGGGAATGATAATGTTTATGCACTTCCCTTAACAGTCATGTTGGCTGATAACTCTGCACAGGGTGATAACAATTCAAGCTTCATTGAGGGCAAAGTTCTAAAGTTGCTCCTTCTATGAAACTTTGGTTTTGGGCTTTGTGCCTCATTTGAAAGTAAAGCGAAGGTTCAGTTTATCCTTCAGGTTCTCTCAAGGACAAACCTTTGCGGTCTGCCTCTTTTTTTCTGGAATACTAAGTAGTTTGGTAGGATGGGTTTTGGAGCGCACAGTTGTTGTTTAACAAATGCAGGTGTTTTGTTGTTTTACAATGGTGGGCAAGGCTTGTTGCAATGACATCCAGACGCTATTTAGTTTTCATTTGAAAATGAGGTGCGTGTGCTGCCTTATATTTTCATATAATGGTGGAATTATTTAACTGTTGTTTTGAATGTAAATCACAGTGTTCTAGAAGCTAATCTTCATAGCATATGTAAATAATATCCCACTTTGAATTTTCACTAAATTACCTATATTATCTAAAGAACAATTCCATATCATTACACTTTAGATACCTTTGTGTAACAGTAGCTTCCATGCTGTAAGGTAAGAGTTGTTTTCTCTGTCTCAGTCTTTAATCTAGGTGGATTACCTAGAGTCGGACGCTAATTGGTTTAATACTCCCACTGACTGTCGGTCTAATTTCTTCTACCTGATCTCCAGGAGCTTACACTCTTCCTGCATGTCTCTTTCCAGTTAAATCCACCACACCCTTTACTAAAACCCCACAGTATGTGAATGCCCTGCGGCAAGTCTTGTTAAGTGTGTTGATGGATTGCCATGAGTTTACTTGCTTCCCGATTTAATCAGCTTCCCAACAATATGATTTAATCCAATTTCACTGGAGCTATTATATTTCAGACTTTGCCATTACGGTGTTCCTTAGTTAAGTTAATTACCATCACAAATCTCTTAGGAATGTCAATTTGGCTGGAGCTAAGCAGTTAATTTGACAATAACGTTATATGTGTAAAGCCCCACTACCAAGAAATGGGTGATTTTTACTGAATTGCTGTCTGATTAGTGAGTATGTACAAAATGGAATTCCTTTGACCTTTAGGTTTTCCAGCTATGAAAGTCTGTCGTCATATTTTATGATGCCGTAAAGAGATGAAAAAAATAGTTGATCATATTAAATGAAAAGTTGGTATTTTTCAGGTCACTTTTCTTTTAGGACTTTAACTCATCAGTTGGTCCTTTTTTCTGTGGCAACTGGGAGATTATACCGTTTTCTTCACGCAGCAAAAAAACTGCATTATAAAAGATCTTGTGATTTTTGGAAATTATGACATTCATCTGTTTCCAGTAAATGTTGACTTTTGGAGTTATTTGAAATGTTTGGAGCAGAAACAATAGTTCTAGGAATAGTATAATACAAATGTTATGAGCCTAAGGCCACGTTTACACGGAGACGGAACGGGTTGTATCCGCTACAGTTTTCTATCGTTCACACAAGGCCGTAACGGATCCGCTGAAACGGAGTCCTCAAACAAGGTGGATAAATCTGCGGACGGAACGCTCTTGGGGGCCAAACGGCTCCGTGTGTACACCCTATACGCCATAGCTCTGCCTCTCCCCACCTCTCCTGCTCACCCCGCGTCATTGCTGATGTGTTTCGCCAACAACAGTGTTCCGTGTGTTTCGAGCCAGGTCCCGGTATCTCTCAGGACAGTGCACCCAGCAGGAGTCTCCAGCTGAGGTGGGTGTTTTTCATGTGCTGGTGGACTATCGGGGAGAACGTCCAGCTCGGGAGCCAGGCTCAGAGTTAGTGGCAGCGGGTACGGTGCACCTGCCTTTTACAGCAGGAGCACACGCTCTCCTCGGGGAGGGAGAAAAAGAGAAACAGAGGCCGCCAAAACAGCCAGAGGTCGGCCTCTCCCCACCTCTGCTGCTCACCCCGCGTCATATCTACAGCTCCTCTACCACAACCATCAGCAACAAGTGGACATGGAGAACTACATGAACTACAAGCTGCTAAATCCACCGCGGAGAATAAACAGAAAGGCAACCATGGCAACCATGCCCGGGAGGTGCCATGGTTGCCTGGTTGCCCTTCTGTTTATTCTCCGCGGTGGCGCCACTTACAGGCCCGGCATATGTACTACAGCGGGTCGAGCGGTCTCGTTTGGATGGACACGTTTATTGAGCCGATTCCGTGAAGACTTTTTTTTATATCGAATTCTGTTCGTTTTAGTTTTTGTCTCCGTGTAAACGGAGCTTAATCTTTGTCTGCAAATGTGCAGTAATACTGTCCTCCAACAGAATCAAAAGACATGAAATAATGTCAGCTAATGTCAATGTTATGAAATAGGGCTTTGAACGATTCTGTACATATTCCTATAATCCTTGTACTGTTCTTTTTCTTTCAAAAAGTAGTAAGTTGGCTCTCTCAAGCCACAACCCCAGTGCTTTTTGGCATCTTTTAAACTGTGAGCCCTACATTCACTGGGACAGGAGGCTAATGCCGAAGGGATTTCCCTTAACTCTCAGGATATCAGATCCTCCAGCCTATTAAGCGGAGCAGTGCAATGACTCTAACCTGCAATAACCTGCAGAGTTAGTGATTTACCCTTTCCACGGAAAGTTAAGGAATCTACTCAGCTGTCCGTTTTGCTTCAAGGCTCTAAAAGCCATTTGTTTCAATTGAACGCACTATTATCTGCTCGTTTTACAAAATACTAGTTATTGTCACAGAGATTTGTCTGTGCTCTTATCACTTGATGTGATGTGGGTGAGGCTATTGGAAAAAGGTGATGTCATGGATAACTGTGGATCAATCGCAGTTGAGTTTAACAACAGAAAGTTGTTGGTTTGTTTGAGTTTGTTGCATTGGAGACATCACTGTGATCAAACCACACCTACAGTCCTGATTCTGTTCATTTGTCAAGAAAGGCATTTTTTATTAATTTCATTAACTTGATCTAACCTGATCCTTATTTAGTGTCAAATATTGATTTTCTTCATTACTTGGCTGTTGCGTTCCACCCTACAGTGAAGTCTCTTCTGTGTGCTTTATTTTACAGTTACTAGGAGCCACATTCTTGGCTGTTGGCCTGTGGGCATGGGCGGAGAAGGTGAGTTCAAACCATAGGTTCAAACACACACTGTTGAAATACATGATTGCCTCAACAGCATAGCTCAAATTCTTCTCCACATTCCGGCAGAAATAAGCTGGAAGTAAAATTTGCACGAACATTTAGATAGAAATAGGGCTTAAGAGAGAAGTGGTGTGGAAAATAAGGGCAATGTTCCTGTAATGCTTTGTAGCACTAAAAGGCATATTACCGGAAAGAAGTCCTGGTAAACAAGTCAGGGTTGTCTCAGGCAATAAATTCAAATTTTGTTGGGCCAATACGTTTTTCCAATTGTCGGCAGTTAACCATAATCTAGTGATAAGCATAGTTACAAATAAGGACACATTAGTTCAAATTTCCAAACTCCTTTGACTTATATTCACCAAGATTACAATGCCTTTTCCAGGTAAAAAACAAATACCCTACATTTGCATTGAACATTTTTCCTGTTTATTTCTTCAGTATACCAACTACAAAAGCCAGGTGCTACCATTAACCTCATGTGCAGTGGATCATGACCACATTTAAAACTCCCTCCAATTGAGTTAACAGTCAATTTGTTCATTAATTAGCTAGAAATTGTACCGGTCTGTTCAGTAAATGCTGTGGAAGCGTGTACTGATTAGAAACGTCTGGTCGTGAACTCTGTACAAATAGGCCTGCATATACCTTGGTGGAAGAGCGTGAATAATTTAAAGGGATTAGGCCCAATGATGAATAGCGGGTACTGGAAAGGCACAGTGGTGGTGAGTTTGGGTCTCAGTGACTAAGACCCCGTTTACACGGGAGCGCAAACGGACCGAATTCATTATCAAAAAAGTCTTCCGTTTACACCATAGACTGTATATATAAATGGACGTAGGGTCCCTGACGTCACCCATAGGATTCTGCAGAGTTGCAGAGAAGCCCTTAGTAGGCGGAGACGACCACTAACGGCTCGACAGTGACGTCAGAGTTCAACTCCCGCCTGCTCCAATTCAGGGCAAAGAGGCGGAGCCGAGGCAGGACCTCCTGCCACCGAGCTGGAAGTTCCAGAGCTACCTGAAGCTACCAAGCTAAGCTAACATGCTCCCCGTCTGCACACTGCCGTCGCATTTTACGTTTCTAAGGTAAGCGGACATGAAATTATTCAGCAAAACTATAAATAATAATCTAAGTTATTGAGTTTTTAGCATAATACTTCAGAATCTTAAAAACCCTTAACGTTTGTATGCAATTGTGCTAAATTCAACACTGGAATCAAGCAAATATTAATGTTTGCATGACATTAGTTATTTATATTTTGATATCACTTAATTATACATTTTTAATACATTTAAGTCAAGCTAAGGTACATGTGATGGTAGCTAGTTAGTGCTCTTACCTGTGAGGCCTCCTCCAAACAGCATAATAACCAGACTGTATCATTAAAACTAAGTACCAGTTTTAGATCCTTGACTTTAGACAAACAATTCAAAAGACAAAATGTATTTAAAGACCAATCTTTATTTGAATGTACCTCTTAACCTGAGATATTAGTTATACAGTAATAGTATTGACAATCTAAAAAAACTGAGCAACTCAACAGTCAACTTTATATTTCTTATTGTCTAAAGCATTTATTATTTTCATTTTCCCCCTCTCATATTCAGTGTGGACGGATTGAGACAGTCTGGTGTCCAGAGAGCAGGAGAGACTTCAGGGAGAAACCTCCGTGTGATGGACGTCCTGTCTGTTGGTTTGGAGAGGACTGAGGGTCTTTCCTCAGCGAGGAGGACCAGGCCTGATGGAGGAGCCCATGCTGGGCATAGCTGATACCAACTGCACAGGCCTAGTCTGTCACTTTATTTGACTAAATGTGTTTACTTATACATTTAATTGGTTTACACTTTCTGTCCATATGTGCTTTTTATTTAAAACATGTTTGATTAATTTTTGGTTCATATTTCAATAAATTGTATTTGTATTTGCACTCCTTTTGTCCATTATTCTTACTGAAAATAGTTAGATTACACATTCACATCTGACTGAAGATTGGCCCCATTTATTTGTGATGTTGCAAACTCTGCGGTACAAGGCACAAGTGATGTGAAGCTCATAAAGTGAGGCAAATAGAAATAATCAGCGGATGGAATGTAGATGTGGAAATAGATGCTGACTATGTTTTCACAATAAAAGTAGTTTCTTAGTGTACTGGTCTTAAAATCTCATAACATCAGCATTTAATGTTCCTCTTGGACCTCTTCTTGACCCTCAGAGAAGGAGAAAATGTTGTGTCTTTCAGGCATGTCCTTTTGTAACAAAAATTACAGGAAACATAAAACATATTATTGCAGAACAAGTGTGTTATTTATGAAAGCGGTGTGTTTGTGTGTTTAGGGGCTGTAGATATCATTATTTTGTAATTGTAATGTTTTTTTGTTTTTTTTCAACTGAGCTACAAAGACAATCAGAATATGAATGAACAGTATGAAGTTAATCAACATTGAAATATATGTTATCAAAATAATATTTAACTGTTATCAAAACGTAGTGCAACTGTAGAAGCTTGCTCTGTTGTCTCACTGAAAGAATAACTTTTACCACGTTTTTACAGACAATATTGAGAGATAAATAGTAGCAGTTCTCACTATGTGTTAAATATCTTTGCCTTCAATACATTAAATTAGAAAGCTGACAAAATCATAGTGCTTGTTAACATCTAAATGTAACTTTTTGCATGGAAAAAACCCTCAACTTAACTGATGTGTAGGTGATCTAGTATTTAGTATTATTTAATGGAATGTATATCAGTGTATTCAAGTCAATACTTCATTTATTTAAACCAATATCTTTCTTGATTCTTTGTACAGTATGAAAAAAAGAGTCTTTGTACCCGTGCTGAAGTTCACTGCTGTGAGGAGTCCAGTTATGTCTCTCACTCTCTGGTCCAGCCTGTCTGCATCACCTGGACACCTTAAATAAACAGATATATATATATATATATATATTAGGGCTGTCAAACGATTAAACATTTTAATCAGATTAATCACAGTTTAAACATTAATTAATCATGATTAATCACCATTCGAACTATGTCCAAAATATGCCATTTATTTATGTATATTGTTGTGGGAATGGAAAGATAAATGAAAGAAGGCAGATATATCCATTTAACATACAGTATCTATGTTTATTATAACATTTGTCTGTGTGTCAAAATGAAAGACAACCCACACACCTATCCAGTGGCGTTTTTATATGTACAAAAGTGGTGGGGCACACAAAACTTAGATGTCTATATATAAGCTTCTGAGGTTCATGGCTGGTGAGGCTCTGACTCTTCAGGTTTACAAATATTATATTTTGACCTAAATCAAAATATAATATTATTTTCAAAAGCTTTTTTTGTCTGATGCTTCAATTAATTTTAAACAGACAGTTCAACAAAAGGTTACCCAAAAAATGTAATTGTATCATTTAAATATTGAATTGTTCTCTCTTAGTAAGATCCCATTTTCAATAAAATTGCAGTCTTACCTTGACATGAAGATGAAGTCCATTTGCCTATCCTTCTGGACAAAAATCTCTATTACTTTTTTGTAAAAGTCCTCCTTATGTTCTTGTAGTTTCAAAAGTCTATCATAAATCTGATCTAATCAATAGATTTATGATTCGAAAATTATAAAAGTAGGGTAGACATGTGGATATTATCCGGCTGAACAAAACGTGCATTTATCTAACACGTTTGTTTCCCACAGATCTTATTTGGAGCTATTTTCTAAAATCCTATGGAGAAATATCATTGCTTTTTTGTGGAGGGAAGCCATGCGCAGTTTATTTCCGGGTTTTAGGACGCGTCACTGCAACTCTCTCGTCTCCTCTTCACACACCACACTTTTCGCGGCACACGTACTTACAGCCAATCAGCTCTGAATTATGTGAGATGACGTATGGTGGGGATGGCAGCACTATGCCCCTATGGTCATTATTTTTTTGCCACACACATTAAATAGGACGTGGTATCGGGGTAGGTAGTCTCCCTCCGCAGCCGGTTGGCGTAGTTTTGGCACAATTCCGTTGTACAGACCGACGTTAACAGCAGCCCTGTCTGTGCACACGGAGACCGACTCTGTCGTCCGGTGATCTAACCGCCTTCTGGAAAAGCTTCACAAGTACGTCGGTACGCAAATGCGCTTTGTGACACAAGTGACGGTACGCATTTCAGATTACGCATTTCAGATTACGCACATAACCTGCGTACCAGTTATGTGCACCCCTGTAGCCTACTACAGCAAAAGTATTCTCCGTCGGGACTTCCTGCAACAACACCACGCCGTTATCAAAGATGTTCTATTGAGAAGACGATCACTACGTGACAAAAGTTTTCAAAACCGTGGCTACTGAAATCAATCTTACTAACTGCTGTCTGTGCAATTTACTCCGCGCGAGTTGGCAGACTTTATTTTGCATCATTTTTCATGGTGGGGCTAAGCCATTTCTTGGTATGGGTGTAGCCTACCCCAGCCATACCCTGTCGCTGCCACTGGTGGCACGTATGGGGCGGGCCATTCTGCACATGCATTAAATGCGTTAAATATTTTAACGCAATTAATTCAAAAAATTAATTACCACCGTTAACGCGATAATTAAGAACCATGTGTACAAACAATATAACTGATTATCTTCTGTTCAACATGTTGGATTGTGTATTGTCCGAGTCAGGGTCCTTTTTATTTTACTGTAACTTTGTAAGTTGTGTTACCAATGCTTACTGTTTATTTGATACCAATTTGGTAATGCAATTAATAAAAACAATAAGGTTTGGGTTTGTTCTTCAGATGACTGTGACGTTAACGTGTAAGCTCAATAATGAACTCCAGCTCAACGAACCATATTGTAATATCTAACTAATCATCTTGAAATATGACATTAATAATTGTAATATACACACATCTTATTGTGAGGTTGATTTCACATACACTACTTCAGTGGTTCTCACAGTGTGGGGCGCGCCCCCCCCTGGGGGTGCAGAGGCATGCCAGGGAAAGGCATGCCAGGGCGAGAGACCAGGAGGAAAAATGGTTATAAAATAAATAAATAAAAAAGACACACTCCGTGTGTGTGTGGAACGAGCCATTTTGTGTGCGCGAGAGAGAGCGCACCGGTACCGGAGATCGTTGTCAGCTTCTGGTGCTAGCGAGCTACGCTAACGGATATAAGGAGTTTTTTCAACAACAAAGTGGAGGAGAGTCCTCTCCTGTCAGACTGAGAGACTCAGTGAGCTAAAGGACTCTCTCAGTGTTATCTCAGTGGGTCTCAAACGTTTTGGTCACCATTAATTGAAACAATTATTTCCGAGGCACACATTTATATGATCATTATAGTTATAAAAAAAATAAGAGAATAAATGAAAAACAGCTATGAAATACAGTAAAACAAGAATAAAGACAGTAAAACAAGAATAAAGTTTAAAAGGGTGATTTGTAAAATATCCATAAAGAAAAAGTAAATCTGTTTACAGTTCTGTTTCAAATGGGTGTTGATTGATGTATCCATATCTCTTCATTTTGCTCTCAAAGTGCACCAGATTGATGCATTTAACTTCAATATTTAAAAATAAATCTTCCCGGGGAAGCTTGCCCCCGGACCCCTCTATGTGAGGTCCACACACCACCTATAAAAATAGCACTTGACCCCTGCTTACACCTATATGCCGTGAGCTGATTATCAAGCATTCATTGTAACAGTCGCGGGTACATTGTGTATTTGCGTGGGGATTGTTGCAGTAGAACATTCCACTGTAGCGCCAGATACATTAATGGGAAACCCTAAATGTTTGAGCACCCTCTATGAAACGTCAAGCTACCCCACAGCACCCCCAAAATAAATCTCTGGTGCCGCCACTGAGCCTGACTATTTGTGTTGGGGGGGCCCGACTTTTTATTTTCTCCAAAGGGGGGGCCTGACAGAAAAAGTTTGAGAACCACTGCACTACTTCGACATTAGCTTGTCTACATACTTGAGCATAGCCAATTTAAATTAACCTTAGCGATGCATACAGTTCCTACCTACATAATAAAATATCTCTCTAAGTTACAAGGATGACCTTATTTTATCAACCTCAAACAAAAGCCGTTTGTTCAACAGTATTATCCCACTTAACGCTTAACACTTGTCTATTTCGTTTTAACCTTTATATATATAGTTTATAATTTTAACATGGAGGCTATGATTAGCATAGTTAGCACCAATGTAGCTACCACTCGCTTACACCCTAACCCAAGCCTTAACATTCATTACGTAGCTGATTCAAATCATAAACACATCAATAAGTACTCAAATTTCACTTACCGCAAAACCGCATTCATGCACCGTCTGTTTTACCGCAGAGCGAGTCACAATAGTCCGATATATAAGCATGAAGAACAAACAACCACGGCCGGCTTCAAGTTGTGTTCCGTAGCTAGCTTCACGGAGCAGCTAGCAGAGAGACAAGAAGCTAACAGCAGCAGTCACTTGACGGAGCTGTCACTCAATGTGACCACGCCGTAATATATGCAAAAACTTTAAGACCTAATATAAATAAAAGGGTCGCGTTAGAAAACAATTCACTCACAGATTCATAATCATGAAGGTGGAATCTAACTATATCCATAATAATATTTATTGCATCCAGGGGTAGAAACATGTTTTTTTCTGCTGTAAAATTGGGCATTTTAACATGGGGGTCTATGGAAATTGCTCCTTTCTGCAGTCATCGCCTATCGGCCAATATATGTACTGCAGTTGGTGGCACTTCCGTATTGGCGTCTCGGCTCTTCCCCAGAGTTTGACGCTTGGTTTACACGCATTCAGATCATTTAACGTGTCCGTTCACACGAAACCACTGGAGAAGCTGTAGTACATATGCCGGGCCTGTAAGTGGCGCTGTACTTCCGCACGAGACCGCTCGTAAGCGCTGGAGACGCTGTAGTACATATGCCGGGCCGTACTTCTGCCACAAAATACACCAAAAGCAGCGAAGAAGACCCCTGAGCATGGTTGCCCTTCTGTTTATGCCCTGCGGTAGATTTAGCAACATGTAGTTCATGTAATTCTCCATGTCCACTTGTTGCTGATGGTTGTGGTAGAGGAGCTGTAGATTTTGCACTAACATCTGTAGCATGGTCGAGCTGTAGATTTTGCACTAACATCTGTAGCATGGTCAGTAGCAGTAGCACTAGCAGTAGCTACTGACCATGCTACAGCAGTGAGCAGCAGAGGTGGGGCTATGGCTTCATCGTTATCAGGAAATGATCGTATAGGGCGTACACACTGAGCCGTTTGGCCCCCCAGAGCGCTCCGTTTGCAGATCTATCCACCTTGGGACCCGTTATCGTTTGCGGGGTCCATTTCCGCGGTTCCGTTACGGCCTCGTGTGAACGAACGGGCTATACGCGAGAGAAAAGTAGCAGATGCAACCCGTTTTGTTCTCGTGTAAACACCGCCTAAGACGATTAGTTTCTAGCCTTCTGCGTTCCAATAGATGACATTGTTTCTGGGCTTCATGCTTTAATTAAAATGAAGGCACTCAATTCTGCACGAGTGCCACAAAAACACAGGAACCCAGTTATGCCTCTGTCATATCGCTGTCCCTTAGCTCAGTGCAGTGGAGCTTACTTTAAGCAGAATGAGATTTCAGCTTCTTGGGCTTTAGCTTCAAGAGTTTGACATGTGCACTGTATGTGACAAGCAAACAGGATATCAGAGTAGAGAGCAGGCGCCTGCAGAGGCCCACATATACATATCCTTCAAGATGGGAAAGAGATATATGAAGAGGTGGTGAGAGATCATGCATGAACCAGAACACAAGTTATGTATGAACAAGCATTTTTTGCACCTCCTTCTAATGTGCTACCCTGGAACATTGACTCAGCGTACCATGAACCCGCTGTTTGGCGTCTGTTTGTGAAATGTGTCAATGCGAGGGATGATGCAGACCAAAAACTGACAGGAAAACATGTCGGAAACACTGTGGCCTGGGGGCTGTGCAGCAGGATATGCAGAGAGGAAGGACCAATGTCTGTTAGTGAATGTTTGATGACTGCTGTGGACTGTGTCTCTCCTGATAAAAGTTATTTTTCCCATAGGTCTGACAGAGATCTGCCAGAGAGGGAAATTGTGTTGTGGTTAAATTGATTACATTGGAAAGCTGTTATTGTGTTTAGAAAGCAATACACTTTGTAGATACCGTTCTAATCAAATAACAGTATTGCCTTTTTATTAGATTTTTCCGCGCGGCTCATGCATCTCTGAACAGTGCAACACCAGTTTGCCTCGTGGTTGTGTCATTACATTACAATCTCTTCTCAAGGTTAACTGTGGTTTGTCTGGATATGACTTCAGTTTGGACCTTGTAAGTAAGGTTTGATTTCGGAAGTATTATTGTCAGAGTTCTAACCTATCTTTTTATCCTTTTATCTTTTGCCTCAGGGCGTGCTGGCCAATCTGTCATCCATCACAGACCTCGGGGGCTTCGACCCGGTGTGGCTCTTCATTGTCGTAGGAGGGGTCATGTTCGTCCTGGGCTTTGCCGGCTGCATCGGAGCGCTCCGAGAGAACACCACCCTGCTTAAATTCGTAAGCCAGCTCCCGACTTTCTGAGCACAGACACCAACTCAAGCACTTCACACCCCCTTAGTCTGCAGTTCACACCAGAGCCGAGGCTGTCTCTGCAGCAGGTGTCACTTTGACTCACCCGAGCCAAATGCTATGGGTGGTTGCATGTCACAAATATGTGTTAGCTCTTCACACAACCAAGTCCTGTTTAATTTGAAATTAATGATCCATGCTATATAATCCACCTAGACATTTTCATGGTGTCGCGTAATGTTTTTCATCATCATTGCTTCTGATCTGTGAAACAAAGAATAATTATTCTAAAGCCCAAAGCCATGATGGTACCATTTTGGGAGGCTTGTTTGTGTTTAGCTGTATTGATAACCGCATGTGACTGACAGAGACAAACTTGCCTTGTTGCTGGCTGCAAGAGTAGCTATTAACTCCAGCCGATGTCCATTAGCAGCAGTAAGTCAGGCGTCTGAGAGAGGAGCTAATGTGGCTTTTGTGCATTTATCATTAGCCCCGTCTCCTGCTACATTTACTGTAAAGGGATGATATAACGGCACTTCTGGGACTGCAGTATTTGTTGCTATAACCTCAGTCGCCAAACAGGACAGGCCCTAGAACCAGACCCGGGACTTTTCATCAGACCTGTTGTCCTTTTAATTATTTTACAGAAAATGCTAGAAATAATGTGATTTAATGTTTTGATCTTTAAGAAAACAGGATCTCTCTGTGGGGCGCCCAGAGTCCCTGATTGAAGTGACAGATTTATTGTTTTCTGCTTGTGTGTTTCATTTGTGTGCGTCAGTTTTCTGTGTTCCTGGGTTTGATCTTCTTCTTGGAGCTGACAGCGGGGATCCTTGCCTTCGTCTTTAAAGACTGGATCAAAGACCAGCTCAACTTTTTCATCAACAACAATGTAAAGGCCTACCGTGATGACATCGACTTGCAGAATCTTATTGACTTTGCCCAGGAATATGTGAGTACACACCTACTGACTGAAAATGATTTGTAACAGAATTTCCACATCAAAATTCCTTTTAACAGCTCAGCTGGAAAAATCCACTCCCTTCTTTAGAAATGATGTTTCATACAAGTTTCAAAGCTTATCTTGAATCAGCTCAGTAGTGAGCAGGGAGGAGACACACACTACAAATGTTCAGCAAATCTCATGATTAATGTGACTGTATTCCTCTCAAATGATTATTCAATTATATGAGCAAGACAGTTAGATAATAGACTCCCATGTGTAATTACTGGGCTCTGTTATGACGCACAGTTAAGGCGATTTAGATTGGCTGTTGTCCCTCCATTTGTGTCTCACTATCTGTTGTTGCTTCCCGCCACAGTAAGCTGGCTACCCACCCAGGCTGACTTGAGCCCAGATATAAAGAGCTGTTTCAAGATCAGAGAAAATATACCTGTCTGTTAACCGGAGGTAGCCGCTTAATCTCTGCCTGTTATTTCTGCAGTGGTCCTGCTGTGGAGCTCACGGGCCCGACGACTGGAACCTGAACATCTACTTCAACTGCACAGAGCCGAACCCCAGCAGGGAGCGCTGTGGAGTCCCCTTCTCCTGCTGTGTCAAAGACCCTGCAGTGAGTCATCCCGCCATAAAGTGCATGATTAATCCATAATGGGCATTTTTTGCTGCTTTCTAAAATGACATTATTTTGGGGCTTTTCAGACAAATAACAAGTCCAATATGTAGCAAATCCTGCAGCCATTTGATTTCAAGCCATCGTTTACCCTTGGTTTATCAATAACGTAGAGTTGTTCTTTAAAGCCCGCGTCACACTGTCCCGAAATCGACACCAGATGGACACACGAATATGGAATTGTGAATTCCGCACGAAGATAGCCCCAAACTTGGCCAACAGCCAAGCAACAGCCGATGCCTACAGAAGGCCAGACGATGGCACCCGAACCACACACGAAAATATGATCGTAGACTTTACTGATGATTTAGAATATATCCAGACTCAACGTAAGAGCTTGTGCCTCTTCCGGGGGTGCTAATATTTAAACATACACTTTATTCTTTACTTTCTCCATCTTTATATGTCATATTTATATGTCCGTCATGTTGTTTCCATAGCAACAACAACTTCCTGTCAACAGCGTAAACTCGCCTTCAAAATAAAAGCATCTAAATAAAACAGGAAGTTAACCTAAATTACAATTAAGACATACAACTGCAACGCAAGTAACAAAAACAATGTAATATCCTTTTCAGTTTCACAGAACACAAATTGGGTTATTTACATAATATGTTTACATGATTTTGTTGTGCAATAAATGCAATCTCGATGTCATCGTATTATAATACGATGGCTACACTACGTCATTGCGAGGGCTTCACATAGTCGTGTTGCCTTCCTAAGGCAATCGGGCAGCTTCTTGTTTCCTTTGTATTGTCTTCGTGAGGCGAAAAATGCCCGATGGCACCGATGATCACACGAAGTAAAGACGAAGATGACACGATTTGACAAGATGCCCTCACGATGGCCTTACGAAGGGCAAAATGGACACACGAATTAAACACGAAAATGAACCTTCGCAAGGTCCTTCAGCAATTTGTTGGCATGCCAAAGATTTTGCCACCGCTCACGAAGTTGCTGCCGGAGCCTGAGAAACTCCACCGGCGGTCATACGATGGCTTAAGATGCCCTCACGAATGGCCCGATGTTGTTACGATCAGAGTCGAATTTGAACATTTCCTTTATCGTGTGTCCATCTGGTGTCAATTTCGGGACAGTGTGACGCGGGCTTAAAGGAAGGTAGTTCTTAATGTAATTCTGCTTTTGTCCCTCAGACTTAAAGTGAGCATTAATAACACTAGTGTGACCAGTAGTTGAAATAAAGATGACGTTTACATGTTTGTGTTCTTACAGGAGGATGTCATCAACACGCAGTGTGGTTACGATGTTCGGCTTAAATTGGTTTGTACACTCTCTTACCATTATATTCTAGTTACAACTCTTCCAGTCTTATCTGGACCCAGCTTTCAAAATTAATAATCATAGTATATTTAAACATGTTAATGAAATGATAGCAGCTAAACCTTTGACAGTTCTGTGAATGCAGAGTGGGGTATGATTGGCAGGCAGTGTGTGATTTCTGCTTAAAATGACTCGAAGCTGCTGAATGGAATTACTCCTGAGGGCGAGTTGATTGACAAGCTGCAATCCTGTTTGATTGAAATGGTCTGAGCATCCGTGGAGGGTGGAGTGGTAATCCGCTTCATTTGTATTGTAACAACATTCAGTGGAACAAATACAAATAAGATTTCTCAACATTTAGACCTCACGTTTATTGATTAAAAGATGTTTTTTTTTTTGTTCTTAATGCACACAGAAAAAGTAAACCCAGAAGCAGTTGGCCAACAGAGCAGACAGAGTGTGTGTACAGGGTTAAGTCACACACAGGCTCCGCTTCGTGCTTCTTGCCTTAATAACAGATTGTTCTTCTAACGGGGATAATTAGGCTCCAGTTATAGCCTTGAGAGCAGCCTTACTACACTCTGTAATTGGCGACTCAGTGGGTTATGCCAGTCCGTTCCCTTTTCCTCTGTGTGTGGGTGTGGTGGTTACAACTCGCTGCACTGCAGTCAGGGAGATTGCTGTTGCTAGGCGCACTGCAATACAGTGAACCACCTGCCACTGAGTTGGTATGAATTAATTTTCTCTGCATGCTCTTCTGCCAACGCCCTGGCCTTTGACATTTTTGCTGGAACTATCAGTGATGTGCAGCAAGTTCCTGTGCTGCCTGTTGTGTGGAGAGCAGGCTGAGGAAGAGCAGGAGACATGGGGAGGACAGGGGAAAAAAGCAGAGGGCTGAAATAGCTTCAGAGGAAGTTCACAGCCAGAATAACATCATGTTTCCTGCTTTTTTATTGGCTGCCAAAGGGCTCCCTTTGCCTCCCATTGGTTGAAAGATATCTTTCAGGTTTTGCAGGAGGACAAAGGGTTTGCCGGGTTGACTTGTGTTAGAGAGTAACAAAGAGAGTATTGTATAGAGTCCTGTTCACATCCATTCTTACCCCCCTGTTTAGAGTCTTTGCGGCTCTAAATAACACCTTTTTATGTCCCATCTCTGGACAGAAGACGTACATCATCATGTGAAAACACAAGCAGACATCTGTCCGGTAACAGGAAGCAGCTTCTGCCTGTTTGCTCAGTCCTGACAGGGGCACTTCCAGAAGCTGAATACACGGCCTTGATATTCTCCATGATGTGAACACACTGACATGTTCTAATCGCAGAGTGACTATCTATCTCTCCTCATGCCATCCTCAGCGGGGAAAGAGACAGTGGGCAAAATGCTATCTGTCTGTTTGCTTTGTCCATCATGAGTCATAGTTCAGAGTTGGTTTTTTAAACCATGACAACAGCCAGTGTCCTCTCTAAGAGCTGATCATTGTTAATGTGGTTTTACGAAACAATTGATTTACTCCTCCTATGAATTTACTTATCTGTTTGTTCTGTTTTTTAAAGGAGCTGGACCGGCAGAAATATATCTATACCAAGGGCTGTGTGGGACAGTTTGAGAAGTGGCTTCAGGACAACCTGATTATTGTAGCTGGAATCTTTGTTGGTGTTGCACTTTTACAGGTAAGAAGTCCATGTTTGATTAAAGGGAACCTACTGCATTTAAAATAAAGTGTGTTCCGAAAACTAAAATGTTTGGCTGTGATTTTGTATAGTGACTGCCATCTAGTGCTGACGGCAGGCACTATTAAGCAAACCACTGCAATACAGCATTATTTTTTCTTTCTAAACAACATCCTGTATTCTGATCAAATTTGATCTAATGTCGTGACTCCTGTGTGTTTTCCTCTTCAGATCTTTGGTATCTGCCTTGCTCAAAACCTGGTGAGCGATGTGAAAGCTGTCAAAGCCAACTGGTGACATGAGAGGTGAAGTGAGGGAGGTCCGCCCCTCACCCCCCAGCCAGGTCAACACCGCACACAATGAGGACGCCGAGAACCTTCAACTCTGTCTACTTTGCCTTTGAGCTAAGCAGCACCCACGCACTCTCACACTAAACGTGCAGACACAAAGAGTTTACTCCCTCTTTATCAGAGACACTTGAATGGGGTGAGGAACATCCCACACAAACCAAACAGTCAACACTTTGTTTACCACTCTGCTGGGATTTTAACCCAAATATACAGAAGACTGTCCTGCCTACTTCATAGTTAGATTCTTACTTTTTTTAATGTTTTTTCTCATTTTGTTCTTTGGACAAGTGTATTTATGGGGCGCAGTTGCACACGGACCCCTTTTCAACTGGGAGTTTGGAAGCCATGGATAAAGCAAACAAAAACATAGGAAAAGGGACAATAGGTCTCCATTTTATGGTCAAGCGACATTGTCACCGAGCCTCAGTGAGGGGCTGAACACCTCATTCTACAAACAGCCTGTTTTAAACGTGCTTGTCACCACTTCCTGCTCTGGGGAATCATGGGCGACTGGCCGACCGTCAAAACAAACGCACGGATTCCCCTGTGTGTCGTTTTTTCTCTCCATCGTGACCTTTTATGACCACTGAAAAAACTCTGAACACTGGCCGGTCAAGTCTGCAACTTCAAATGTTTTCAGGAGACTTAAATTCTAACTCAAAATGTAAAGAAAAGTGCCATTAATTTCCAGTGATATATTTGTCTCTTTCCTATTCTCTTAAATGGAATTTCTGCACCACCCCCACAATACCTCAGGTCTGAAAACATGTGCTTTCTGCCACTGGTAAGAAAGCATATTTATCTGTTTCCATCCATGTCTGTTGAATTGAGAAGACTAACTTAATGCAGAACACTGACAGTTCCTCGAAAGTCACCCTGTTTGCCCTGCAGTGATTGTATTATCTGTAGATTTACTGAAGGATGTTGTATTGTATTACATGAAATGGCCTGGTGTGGTTATGATGGTGGAACTATGCTATACAGGGAAAGGGTTTACAGATAGTGGAGATTGTTGTTATCTCTGAGCATCCCTCAGGCACATGGGATTGCTGGTTTGGGGCCTTTTTTACTTGGCTTACGTCACCGCATATGTCTTATATTTTGTCCTCTGCATTATGAAATAAGAATATTTGTCTGTTTTAAAGATGTCCTTTTATTAATCCTTTATATTCTATCTTTTCATAGACTAATTTTTTTTCTGGGTTCATTATTTGACTTCACCAGGCACCTGCTTTACCTCTGAACCATCAGTCAACTGCAAAAAAGCTTTTGGAGACCAAAATTAAATCATACGGCCACAAGCTAAATGCATATGATTTTGTCTGGCTACATATTGTGATTATATTAGGAATGCCATAATAACAAGTAGCATTTATAGATAGCCCAAATGTGAATTTATTGTCCCTTTTTCTGTGGGAAGTGCCAGTTGAAATGAAAAGTCAAACAAATATTAAAAAAGTTACAGAACCGATGTTATCTTTAATTCAATGTTGTGTCTTTTGTTTGGACTGGTTTTTAAATAGAATAGTAAAACCATGCTGTGAGCTTTTTATATTAGCTACAGCCTCAATATAACATGAATGCTGCTTTAACCTTGCCTCGATAATTGATATGTAGTACAATAACCATGCTAACAAGAATTTTCACATGATGGCATTGAATATTTTGCCATTATTTCCAGACTGAGGCAATATTGAAGTTAATTTTTGAACACTTTGTTCTCAGCTTGTGTTGCTGTTCATTATAAGAAAAAGCAGATTATTAAAGGTGGGGTAGGTAAGAATAGAGAAACCAGCTCGAGTGCGCAAGTATGCAGCCGAAAAAAATCTGCCCCTTCCTTCAGACTTCCTTACAGAGCCCCTCCTCCAACACACACGAACACGCACATGACCAATGAGGGCACGAGATAAGTTTGTGCACAGATGGAAGGCTGACAGGCAGGTAGGCCGTCCAGTTATTTTAGCCGGCCGGCTAAAATGATTGATTGTGCTTTTTACAGTACTACAGCTTCCACGGATGACAGTTTTGTATGTATTTATTGTCAAAGCATTTAATGTATTCATTGCTATCGGGATGTTAAGAGCATTCCATGGAATATAACAAAAAGTGTTTCTGAAGTGAATTACCTACCCCACCTTTAAGTTGCCCTCACAGCTTTTCATCATCGTCCATGATCCTTGCAGAATGTAGTTTCTGATATGACTTGATTTTTGTACATTTCTTTCTACATTTAACAGTTGTTTCCGGCTGCAGCAGCATCATTCAGTCACGTAGCACAGGCATGATTTGGGTGGGTTTCACTGGACCACACACAGCCGCATATACAGACTGGCTGCCAAAAGAAACATGATGAATCGTGATGCATGTAAGGTGAAATGTGAGTCACGTTAATATTCTTTGAACAGCACACGCTCCCTCTTCAAAACTTTATCTGATCCGACTTCGCCTGTCATTTTGATGTATTTTTACACGCAGGGCTCCTTTGGAAAATAACAAAAACAGCCACTCAAGACAAAACAACAACCATAGCATAGATCCAGAGTAGCACACTGCATCTGTTCTGAACTGAATTAATGACTTCTCTCAGTTCAAATGGATGACTTTTCGTTGGAGAGGCTCATTCATTTCAGCGCTTTAGGTGTAATTCAGTGAGTAAGAGCCTCCAGCAATCTGAGAGAACACACATTATTTTCCCCCGTCAGATCTGATGTAGAAACATGTGAAATTCCCACCCAAAGTCGCCACGTTCGCCTGATGTGCCGGGATTTATTTCTGATTCAAAAAATGTGTGTGGGCCTCTTTGATTTCACGAAGCGTTGTAAATCAATCTGTCCCACTGGAGTCGAGCAGATCAGGATGAAAACTGTTTATTTTCCCTCCACACCTTTCTAGTTTAATCTTTTTGAGAAGTGGCTTGAAACTAATAATGTGTCATTAGTTAATTAAAAAAGCTTTGAAGTATTTTTTCCTAAATCACCCTTAGTTGGAAGTGCTTTCTCAGGGTCTCAAGCGCCCCTTTCATGAATAAAAAAAAAACTGTGAGAATATTCTGTTGTACATGATAAAATGGTGGGCTGCTGCCTTTTTGAGTGATGCCGAGGATCTGGCTGAATGCAGATGGAGGCCATGGGTGTCAGTTCTGCTGCAGCTCTTAAACAAAAAGCACTCCGGCTCTCTCTCTCTGCAGCCACTGCCGTGTCTGGATGGATATGCCAATAATCAGACAGTCACCTTGGTAATAAGGACAATAATGCCATAATAAGCCGTTCTAGCAGCGTGGCTTTCATATGCAGACTCAACAAAGGTGACTTTCTGGCGTATGTTTGTTTTAACAGCTTTGGGTAATTCTGGTTTGTATTCCTTTTAATGTAGGGGGGAGGGCGAAAACAATGCTAATTAGGCTTTGTCCTTTATCATAATGGCCTTGCATTATGAAACACCCTGTTAATTTCTCTGCTTTCCCCGTGGGCAGTTAAATCATTCCCAAGGAGGAGCCTTATGCATATGAATGTCTAAGTCTGTATCAGCCTGGACTCCTGCTCCACGCTCCGTTACAAGTTCTGCTTATGCAGCGCAATGCACAAGACAAGTGAAGCTCAGCAATGTGAAATAAAGGCTCGTCTCCTGCGATGTTTTAGATTTGTTTTTTTTTACATTTTTTAATTTGTTTTCGTGAGCATGAAAGCAGATGAGCATTCCATTTCCTATGTGTGAAGGCGTGTGTGCAGACCTTATATGCAATCACAAAGAATTTAAATGATTAGAAACGACCGGTTTAACAATATTTTCTCTTCAGTAGCTCGATGCGGACGGTTTCTGAATATCATCAAAATCATCACTCCAGGACTTTATCTTTCTTTATTGCTGTGGAACTTATTTTTGCTACAAATTGATTTATGAATGACTTGATTGACCTCTTTTGTATTTTCCTTTATGCATATGAATACTAAATAACTGTCCTTTTCACCCACTATATGGAAAAGCCTAATTTGATGCATTTTCTTTTGACATTTCCCTTTATAATCAAGCAGCACATCTGACATTCACAAGTTTTACCTCATCATGCGCAGATGCTGATCACAGCACAGAGAAGCAGCATAATTGACTTGTTAGTGAGCACATTAACAGCAATATCACAGTTGTTAGTACATTCATGACATTAGATTAGGACAAGCGTGATGTGACTGGAACGAAAAGCGTTTTAAAGTTGAACGAGTTTACAGTTGAGGAATAAGGATGTTGTACACAGAAACCACTATGAATATCTTTTCTCAGTTTGACCATGTTATCGATCCATTCTCTCGGTTTAGACCTGTCTGCATGTATGGGTAGCCTTGTAAAGAAATGTTGTATATGAAAACTGGGACACGGTCTGTTACACTGTATATTGTGTTAAAATATGCCTCTTTTCTATATTAAAGGATTTATGAAAACAGACGAGTGTTTCTTCTTTTCTTTTACTCATGGTTAACTCAAGGATTGTGTTTACAATGATGCACTTTTCTTTAATATATCCCCTTATTTGTACCTTTTATTTGTATATTTACTGTATTTGATATCTTAAGTTACTGATTATTTTTGCAGATTGAAACCGTACACCAACTCATGAAATGTAATTTGTTATAGAACAGAAACTATTAAACATTGTATACAGTATATTGTTTAATAGTTTCTGCTCTATAAAAAGCATATTAAAGTGCTCTACCAGCTACTCAATCAAAACATGTTAATCTATATGCCGTTGCTGTTAATATATATAATATGTATTATATCAGTCAGTGATTTAACTTTTGTTACATTTTTCTGATAATAGTAGATTGACTTTAACAATGCTATTCTTTCCCCTGTGTTTCTCTGGCTTCTACCGAGTGTCTGAATACTTCTTCCACAGTTCTGTGAGGAACGGGGTCAATCAGCGCTGTGCTCTTTTTCTACTGATAGAAAATGAGGAATGAATGCTAATTGTCCCAGTTACATTGGAAAGTTGTTTTAAGGTTTTCTGTGATTAGGAAATGCTTTTAATTTATCATATGATGGATGAGTCAGCCAATAGAGGGAGACAAATAGGGACATTGAGCTCAGGCTCTGACACACTGATGCTGCGATTTCATCATTTAATCCTGTAAAGCTGCAAAGACGCAATGCAAAAACTGCTGAAAGAAAAAAGGAAATTAGTGTGTGTGTGCAACAATGATGCCATTAGTGCCTTTTTTTTAGACGAGCAGAAAGCAGCTATACAAATCCATTCAGTTACCTGCTATTAAAGCTGTGCCTTGATGTTTAGATCAAAGAGTTACCCTCCATCAACTTCAGAGACTATTGATTTTGAACAAGCAGCTCAAAAACAAAAGACTCCTGGCGTCGGAGCTCATGTCTTTTATTCAACACTTCCTGGCTATGGGGAACGGCAGCGAATTATCTTTTGTGCCTAGCCATTCTTGAAAATGCTTGAATTTAGTGTCGTACCTGTTTACATAAAACATGCCGCTTCATGGCCGCAAGGACAGCGACTGCAGCCAAGATAACTTATTTTTGATTAGATTTAAAGCAGTTGCTACCATGAACAAAGTCTTTCCAATAAATACGACTAGCCTTGTGTTTTTATCTGCAGAGGAAACATCATGTGCAGTGACAATCAAACATCTGCACTGTAGTTCGTCATTCAGAACCAGACTGTTATTATCTAAAAGGATATGGTTAAGTGATATTACTGCTTCATACATCCTCTATTTCCTTTTTATGAGTGAAGTTTAAAACGTAATCACCACAGTGTATCACAGATGTTCTACACCCTTCTCTTTGTATCCTGCTTCAAGTTCTTAGCAGGGCACAAAGCATGAAAATGCATCTGCTCCTCCTAATGTTAGTGTACATTTACAGCATTCTGTTCCATGTTACTGCTATCTTGTAATTTCCAGTTCACTTTAAAGATAGCTCAAGCACCAGCAGAGTCATAATTGAAGCCTGAATCGATGTGCTTGTGGTTTGTAGTTCTGTGAGATTGTGTTAAAGTCAAGACAGATTTGTGTGCAATAAGAAAAGTGTCTTCTCTCTTGAGGGTATAATGTTGGAATCATTATGGCACTTGTTTTGTGGTTGACTTTACACGATGTGCAAACCAAGTGTCGACAGCAATCTTGCTTTAAGCATGTTGGCCTTATAAATAAGATTAGGGCTGTCACAGTTGTCCTCGTAGCCCACAATCATTTCCTAGAAAATGTTCCCAGTACCACAGTACAAATGTTATGATGATGCTAAAAGGCATTACAACTGAATTATTATAAAAATAAGTATGAATCCGATGATAATAATAGCATTTAACTTTAACAGGCTTTACAACTAAAGCATTTCAGCTCACATGTAAGCAGCACTGCTATATTAACTAATAAATGAATGAATGTTAGCTTTTTGATATATTCTGTAAGTGTTCCTTTCTTAACATTCACCTCACTGAAACACTCACTTGTGTTTTTTCTACGATAC